TGACTCCATTTATACTAACTCTGTTTCCTTTGGTATAGCCATGCCCTAATATATAATAAGAACATAAGAACAAAGGCAACTGCAGAAGGCCTATTGGCCCATACGAGGCAGCTCCTATCTATAACCACCCAATCCCACTCATATACTTGTCCAACCCGCGCTTGAAACAATCGAGGGTCCCCATCTCCACCACGTTACGCGGCAATTGGTTCCACAAATCAACAACCCTGTTACTGAACCAGTATTTACCCAAGTCTTTCCTAAATCTAAACTTATCCAATTTATAATATAGCCATGCCATCCCATATGGTGACACAAGTTTCCGAAATTGTCCAACACTGAACCTTTGAAATATCTTTGCCCTGAAACAAAATATCATCGGCATATATGATCAGAGTTTCCCCATTTGAGTATCTCTCAGACGCTATCTTATTCATTAGTACATTAAACAGAGTGGGACTCAACAGTCCTCCCTGAGGTGTGCCGAGTTCAAAAGATCTCACACCTGACATACAACCTTGATAAGAACATAAGAACATAAGAACAAAGGTAACTGCAGAAGGCCTATTGGCCCATACGAGGCAGCTCCTATTCTATAACCACCCAATCCCACTCATATACTTGTCCAACCCGTGCTTGAAACAATCGAGGGACCCCACCTCCACAATGTTACGCGGCAATTGGTTCCACAAATCAACAACCCTGTTACTGAACCAGTATTTACCCAAGTCTTTCCTAAATCTAAACTTATCCAATTTATATCCATTGTTTCGTGTTCTGTCCTGTGTTGATACTTTTAATACCCTATTAATATCCCCCCGGTTATGTCCATTCATCCACTTGTAAACCTCTATCATGTCACCCCTAACTCTTCGCCTTTCCAGTGAATGCAACTTAAGCTTTGTTAATCTTTCTTCATATGAAAGATTTCTAATTTGGGGAATTAACTTAGTCATCCTACGCTGGACACGTTCAAGTGAATTTATATCCATTCTATAATATGGCGACCAAAACTGAACTGCATAATCTAAATGGGGCCTAACTAGAGCAAGATATAGCTTGAGAACCACACCAGGTGTCTTGTTACTAACGCTGCGATTAATAAATCCAAGTGTCCGATTTGCCTTATTACGAACATTTATGCATTGATCCTTTTGTTTTAAATTCTTACTAATCATAACTCCCAGATCCCTTTCGCAATCCGACTTCGCAATCACAACACCATCTAGCTCGTATCTTGTAACTCTATCATCATTACCTAACCTCAGAACTTTACATTTATCAGCATTAAACTGCATCTGCCAATCCTTTGACCATTTCAAAACCCTATCTAGATCAACTTGAAGTGATAGTGAGTCCTCCTCCGAATTAATTTCCCTACCAATTTTCGTATCATCGGCAAATTTGCAAATGTTGCTACTCAAACCTGAATCTAAATCATTTATATATATTATAAACAACAGAGGTCCCAGGACAGAGCCTTGAGGCACTCCACTTACAACATTTTCCCACTCTGACTTGATTCCATTTATACTAACTCTCTGTTTCCTTTGGTATAGCCATGCCCTAATCCAGCTTAATATAGCACCCCCAATACCATGAGACTCTATTTTTTTAATCAGTCTTTCATGTGGCATTTAAAATGATCCGCTCCATCATTTTACAAAAACACGAGGTTAAAGACACAGGTCTGTACTCTCCATTGGCTTTAGGGATAGGGATGATGATAGCTGTTTTCCATTTACTGGAAATACTGCCCTCTTTATAACTAATATTAAAGAGGTCTAACAGGGGGCTTTTCGTCATAATGGCAAGTTCATTAAGTATTTCATAAGTTACTCCATCCTCCCCTGGAGCAGTAGATTTCCCAATTTTAATCGCCGTTATTAGTTCTTCTCTGGTAATACCTGTGCAAGTGACATCACCACTGTTACCTGCTGTAAGTATAAAATCCTTTCTTAGATCTTTCCAAGAATCTAATGACTCTCTCGTTACAGCGAGTAATGAACTAAGTTTGGCAGCTTCCGCCCATTTATTTACGAGACCATTTGCAATTCCTTGCGGATCAGGTTGTGCAGTAAAATTATGCTTCTTACCCCTTATTTTATTTACGTCTTGCCAGATTTCCTTCAAGTTTCTATTACTCCCAACTTTCTCTGCAAACTCCTGCCAATACTTACTCCTAATTTCCTTTCTCTTCTCCCCACACAGCCTAGCAACTGCCAGTAAACCATTCTTCCTTTCCTCAGTCCTACCATTCCTATTCCAATTCCTGTGAGCTCTCCTCATTGTTATTGTCCACCCATTATGCATCTTGTCATGTGTATAATTTTCTTTTCTGGGGGGATGCTTTTTTATACTAGATGTTTTCCGGTTTAATGTTGCATTAAATACATCTACCTCCTTAATTAAATCTTCATAAAATGCTTCTGCCGAAACTGGCTTATAAGTATCATACCAAGATTTAATATGGCCAACAAGACCCCTCAATTCTCCCTCATTAAACTTTAACCTTTTCCTCTGAAGGCAGGCATGCTTTTATCTAGTTTAAGCTGTATTTGTAATGCAAAATGATCACTTAGCATTGATCATTTCAAAATCACTGTAATTGCATTACAGTGATTTTTAAATGATCACTGTAAAATTTAAATAATGCAACTTTCAATTACTAATTAGAGATGTCAATATTAACGGTAACTGATTTACATTATCATTATAACGGCTATCCATTAATATTATTTCTGTATAATAATTTATGGTTATTCACTAATCATTATTAGTCACAATAATTATTATCTATTTATTCGTTATAATTAGCCTATGCTTTTCATTTAAGGATTATCAATTATAATAATTTATGATTATTATTAATTAATTATTTTATGTAATAATTAATTATTATTATTGTAAAAATAAAATAAGTCCCCCACTTGGTGAGCGTTTTCTTCCAACCACAGAAAAGTGTATTCTCCTGACTATCCTCTATCATCGTTACGTCATGCACATCATTACTTTCTTCTACGCACGTTTCACTTTCCATTTCACGTTCTGTTTTACTTTCAATTACACGTCCTGTTTCACCACCATCTTCACCCCGTCTACTCTCCATAGCCAATTTTTCCAATGCCTCAATCTTCTTATCTAGTTTTTTTAGATACTCCAAAATTTGATTACCAACCTCAGAGGTGACTATATTGTCCTGAACCTTGTCCTCACAAGGTTTCAGTTTTTCCACTGCATGATTTACTTTCCCTAGGCTCGCCTTTATTTTCTCCGTCCCTTTCTCCCACACATTGATCATAGGGGCGGTCGTTGGCTTCCAACTGTTTCCTCCATGTTCCTCTTGCACAATCTTTCCTTGCTGCGAGGATACATATATCCTGCTTGTAGGACCCGTCCTATATAGTCTCTTTCAGATGAGGCTTCATGGGGCATAGAGAGGAACTAGCATTGTGGCTGCCTCGACAGTTGCAACAAAATGGGACGATTTTTTCACTTCTTTCAATCTTGACTACACTCTCGCGAGTCGTGTTTCTTCCCACAATACCGACACCTGGGGTCAAACTGGCATTTCCATGCCATATGTCCCCAACGTGACATTTCATGCACAGTATGGGCTCCTCAATGTATTTTGCAACGTTCCTATAGCCTAGTCCTTGCACAAAAATTTTCTCCGGCGCCTCACCCTTTACCAAGGCAACAACCTGGCTTTGTTTGTTTAATTCAATTGGCATGTTGTAGGGAACAACAGCCTCTTCCTTCTATTCTAAGACTGTACCTCTCTCAACCAGTTTAAGTTAAAAACGAAGCTATACCTAATAAATTCCCTGTAACCTACCTTACCCTTCTATTGTCAACCAATGTCTGTTTTTCTTTAAAGAGCGCTGTTTGTCGACATATTTGTATTTGTGCTGCTTTTTCATCTATGTTTTCATTTCTTGTTTTCATCTACTCATTATGCTCAATTAGTATTTTAAGCTTGTCATTTAAGTTTATCATGCCCGAAACGCTTTGCGTAATAGTGGCTTTAGGCATTGTATGTACTAGCTCTACCTATAAGTCAACCAATCTTTGTAAAAAATTATTGTATGTATGTACCTTACCTAAATAAAATATTATTATTATTATTATTATTATTATTATTATTATTATTAAATTGCCTATCTTGAGTCCTGCTGAGTAGGGTCTCATTCTTTGGTCTCTTTGTAATTTTATCGTCACTCTCACTGTCTGTTATTATTTCTCCGTTTCTTTTCGTTCATTGCTACTTCAAACGGTCTGTTATCATCTTGTCTGTCCTCCTCACTACCACTTTGGCATACCGTTTCAGCCATTTTCTCGACACTCATAGGCACTATCAACAATCGAGAACAAATTCACAATATCCTGTATCACCACGTGCAAAGACGAAAAGTGTGGGGGCAATACTCCACCTCCCACCAAGCAGCGGACGCCTATTGAAGAGCGCCAACACTTCGACCGCACACGACCGTGTTCTGGTCACAACTGATTGATTGATAAAGATTAAGCCACCCAAGAGGTGGCACGGGCATGAATAGCCCGTAAGTCACAACTGAGGGGGTAACATAGCAGAAATCAGCAATTGTACACGTTGGTGAACAGCATTGTTTAAAAAATAGCAAGACATGGGTTGACATTTAGGGGGTAAGGTAGTTAGGTAGTACTTGGTTTTACTCTTAAACTGGTTGAGAGAGGTACAGCCTTTGACATGATTCAGGAGGTCATTCCACATTCTGGGTCCTTTGATTTGTATAGCACTTCTAGTTTGGTTACACACAGCCAAATTGTGTAACAGGAAGAGGTCTTGGACACAAATTTGTTCCATGCTAAATGTAGAGGAATCAGCTGAGTATTCCTCAAATAAAATAAGTTGCCTCAGTTTATAAGGTAAATAAAATAAGCATTTCTCAAATAAGTAGCTGCCTCACCTCACTGCCTCACTGCTACATAGCCTTCCCGGCATGGTGCCTTCTTTTGATAATTACTTGTTCCACACCCAAGTTGTATAACAGGAAGAGGTCTTGGACCCCTACTTCCCTCTCATTTTTAATAGTCCATATACTGTAGTCATAATTATAGCTTTAAAGAGATTTCAGAAGAACATGGTGTTTCAGGTAGAAATGCATATCAAGGTAAGTTAATTTATAGATATATAAAGTACTGTCTAGAAATATATTACAGTACTGCAATTGGTACATTATATTACAGATAGATAAATGAAGAACATAACAGTAGATGCTAGGGTGTAAAAAAGAAATCTAGTACAGTATTGTTGAATTTAGTTCACATACCTGTTTTGGAAAATTCAAGATTTGGCCAAGGGAATTTTACATTATGGAATATAGGATTACATAGAGGATAGGCTCCTTGAAGGTGTCAACTTTTTGGAGAGGAAACTCATGTGTTCTGTTCTTGGATGGCTTTTGCTCATCCCTACTCTTACATGTGAGGATAGCATAAAAGTTAAGATACCCACAAACTTTGCTCATCAAGCTAAGGGTCCATTTTGTATGGATGGTTTAGGGCATTCAAGCTGGGGTACAATATCACAGGTATTGCAAGTACAGTACCTGTCAAGTTGTGATTTTCCTGGACCCTTTGTCATCTTGCAACAGTCAGGTGCCAGTCAGCTCCAGGCTGTCATAGTGAATGGTTGTGTGCTGCATTTTGCTATGCCATCCTACCTTGTTTTTACATATATTTTAGTGGTGCTTATGGTTGTATATTGTTATGGGACCTACCAAGGAACTAAGCAATGAAACCATTGCTCAGAGCATTGCTTTAAAGGATGCAGGCCACCAAACTAAGGAAGTAACTCTATTGGTCAGTGTGGCTAAGTCAGCGGTGAGAAAGAATTGTGTACAGTTCAGGGAGGAAAACAGCAGTGAGATGCCATCACAATAAACTTGGTCTGGGCATCCCAGGAAGACCTTTTTAATGTCTGTGAACAATGTAAAATGTTTGTTGGAGAGTACACCTCGTGTGACAGCAAGGGTAGTGAAAGAATACATCTTTAAAGTGTTTGGTGAAGTCTGTACATACCATATCTCGCAACATTTACAATTTGGGTTTTACTAGCCATATGCTGGCATCTTCCAACAGGACAATGCACCTGCTCACACTGCCAAATCTGTTACTAAGTGGTTTGATGACTGCATGGTACCCATCATTAAGGATTGGCCAGATAACAGTCCAAATCTCAACTCAGTTGAGAATCCCTGGCACATGGTTAAGAGGGATATGGAGTGCAAAGATGTCAGCTCCATACCCAAGCTCGAGGAAGTCATTCATCAGTCCTGGGCAAACATCTCGCTGAAACACTTACCCCGACATCTCCAAGCTGTGAAGAAGAGAAAAGGCCACCCAACCAAGTATTAAAAGGTAATTACTGTATAGTAAAATATTTACTTTAAAATATCCTTTTTTTTGTTGGGGGAAAGGGGTGGGGGTGCATTGTGAGGAGTGCAAGGGGGAAGTTGTGTAAAACCCTGGTTTGTGCTTCGGAGAGGCTACAGGATCCAGTAAGTTCAGTAGAACTTCGGTTTCAACTCCTTTTGACCATGTCGTAACTCAGTCGATTAAGGCAGCGTCTGGGATGCTCTCGGACGCAGGTTCGAATCCTCGTTACGGCCCTTGTGGATTTGTTGGGCTCTTTTTCTTCTATCTTCTAGTTTTGGCATATTTAATGACTAATTTCTCTCATAGCTCGTCTTTCAGTTCCAGAAGCCATTTAATTGCATGTCTTTGCAACGTTTCCAGTTTGTCGATGTGCTTCTTGAGATATGAGCACCATACAACTGCTGCATATTCAAACTTTGGTCTCATAAAGGTCGTGAACAATTTCTTTAGTATTTCACCATCCACGTATTTAAAAGCATAGCATAGGCTCCTCGCACAATGTTCTTTATGTGGTTCTCAGGTGATAGTTTTCTATTTAGAACCACCCCTAGATCCCTTTCTTTATCAGAATTGTTTAAACCTTTTTACACATAATTTGTAAGTTGTGTGGTGTCTATTTTTTATTCACCTTAAATTCTATTTGCAGTGGTGCACCATACACTTGTTTTGTCTAGGTCTTCTTGAAGTGCATGACAGTCGTCTAAGTTTTTTTTATCATCCCTAGTATCTTAGTATCATCAGCAAACATGTTCATCTAATTCTGTATTCCTTGAGGTAGGTCGTTTATGTAGACATTGAACTGTAGTTAATGTGCAAGAACTGAACTCTGGTACTCCACAGGTCCAGTACTGTACCTTGAATGCTGCACCTATTGTGATCCCTCCTTTGCATTATTGTACTGTAAGGATAGCCTGTTTGAAAGTCTCTTGGTACAGTATACATTTGCAATGTGCTTGCTCATATTGTTCTTATCTCTGTATAGGGTTTCAATTGTGATAATTTTTAAAACCCACCCCACATAGAACCACATTTAACCCTTAAACTACTCATGTCACCCTCAAGTGATAGAGGTCTGAAGATTAGGTGTGCCCTGTAATATTAAAAAAGTTCTAAAGATTCCATGTGGATATTATTTATCACTTGAGACCTCTGGCAATTATTTGTCATATTGGGAAAACATCATGGGAAGGTAACTATCGGGGGAAAAGTGCCAAGCAATTACGACTATATTGCATTTGTAAGGAACCAGGATAAGGATTTGGGATGGGACAGGAGGTAAGGAATGGTGCCCAACCACTTGGACGGTTGGGGATTGAACGCCGACCTGCATGAAGCGGGATCTGTGCTCTACCGTCCAAGTAAGTGGTTGGGCTGGGAAAACATCAGAAAGCAATGTTTTATGATACAGAATGAGAATTTGTTTTTGTTTTGTATCAAGAAATGGACATACTGTACATTTAATTTAGGGTACACAGATAAAGGGTTAAGGCTTATAGTTATAAAACTTTTTTTTTTCCTTGAATATTTTCAGTGCTATTGCTCTGTTTATGGACAAGTCAAGCGTAGTCTATCGATGGCATTGGCTACCGTTATTTTACCTTATTAAACCAATACAGTACAGTATGTGTCTTTCCACCAGGATGAGCAGTTTCCTGCACAACTGTAATTTTGTATGCTCTGTTACTTTTATGTGCAAACATTAGGTTTTGTTGACTCAATACCTTACCTTCATAGTCCTGGAGAATTCTAACCCTTTTCATCTTGTGGCGATTGAAATCTAATAACGTACTGGATATTCCTCATTTTTAGATGGTAAAATTCCATTGGGTCCCTGGCCCTATTGGTATTACCTCTAATGATCTCGTGGACACTGTATTTGAAGATGATCATGCTGGTCTCGACTCTCAAAAACAGATACATGTATCTTACTCAGATTTCTATTGTCATTCATAATTCACTCGGCAACCAATTGAGAGATTTGAATAATAAGCTGCATACCATAAAGTGTGACTTGTTCTTATATCTCTCCGATCACTGCAAAAGGTGTAAACTAGCTCTGGCAAAGTTACATATTAGCCTCATGTGATTAACTTGTGTACACAATGAACAATCCTGTGATTGTTGGAACTCCTTTCTCATACCTTATAGAATGTCCTAATATTCAGGATTGGAAATCTTGCTTTCTCAATGTTCCATTTTGAGTCATTTGTCCCTTGATAAGATCCATAGTGACTCTGGTACCTTTGACTTGGCTTATCTTGTTTTTTTCTCTTTTACTGACATCCTTAATGATATCTGGGAATATTTTTACTGGTCTGTGCCAAATGGTGCCACATAGTCCTCCAGGCTTTGTGCCTTCTTTTGATAATTACTCAATTGATGGCATAAGAGGTAAAGAACATGCTAGAAGATTGTTAGTGGTCTGGAGACCTTTTTGTCATTAAACCCTAAGGGAGGAGTGCTGGGGGAAAAAAAAATTGGAAATACCAGTACTGTTAGTATGTACGAGCTTGATTATATAGTAGTATATGACATCTTTACATTTATTAAAATATTTACATAAATATTTACACAAAGATTTTTGTACTGCAAAATAATAATATACAACTTGCAAATTACACAAGTTAACAAAAATCCCATAAGAGATTTAAAGAGCAATAGTAACAATTGGACTGAAGTAGGAAGTGAATGGCTCTATGTGAGCATTCCATTAACTTGTACAAGTAAACATTTGGCAGCTCCTCTGAGATCAATGCCATTGCTCAATAAGGAAAACAATGTTTAACACACTGTGCATTACAACAAAACATTTAGGGTTACATATCACTACCCTATTAAACACTATTTTGTTGAAGCATATGGTGTTGAAAAATTTGCTCATGGACAATTAATATTAATAAATATATACAGGAAAATTTACACACACACAGTCTTTTTGTATACATTGAGTACATTTAGAGCACTATACAATGTATAGACCAAATGCTCCTGGAGCTTTTCACATATATACATCATTGCACTGGTTTGTTTTGTATACTTATTAGTTTAAAACAAGATTATGAGTTCAAACTTGTCTTCTTTGGATAAGCCTGTCCTTTAATTTCTCTTCATCTATTTTATGAATTACCTGAAACACACTACAGAGTATTTTCATGGAACACTATTGTGATCCTAGATTAAAAACAAGACTGTTCAAGTTGGACACCGAGATCACATTTCAAGAAATCACACAATCAAAATCCATTAAGCTTATACCATTCGTATACATATTGCCAACAATGATAATTGCTATATACAACTATAGAAAAAATGCAACATGCAAAATTGAGACATATTATATTGTCTAAATCCTCTTGTATAATCACTAAAGGTGTGTTTTTTCAAAAGATTTTTTTGAGTAGAATTGCACACTACTGTTCACAAATGATACGAATGTAAACTTGCTGGTGATTACAGTATAGTCAGACTGAACATGTTTTATATCGTTTCTAGTATATATGATTGGACACAGGGTTTGCTGCAACTAAGGCTGCGATCTTAATATTCACATCTTTGTGGATTCCCATATATCTGCATTTTGTACTTTGCATCATACTATTTAAACTTTGCAAGTGTTAATTATTGAAGATGATGAATAACATAGGTTGAGCAGATTTACAAATAATGACATGTTTTTAAAGTACTGGTAAATACAGTACAGTACAGTATATAAAAATGAGATCTTAAGCTGAAATGTTAACTTATTAATAAGATAAAAAATTTGCTCTAAACATCAGCCAACTACAAATTATTTGAACTAAAAATGTTACATGTACAGTAATAAATTACATTTTCTTTTGATTCTATTACCTTTAAAACATAAGGGTAAAATATTTCCTCTGATGTGTATAATTATCTGCATTTTTACTTATATATACCTGTATATATATATATAATAGAATATATATATATACACACACACACACGTTACCTGTTGATTATTCATCCATGCTGGGACTCTGCGATGTCCCCTTTTGTCTGTCAGACAGTGGTTTCAGTGTTTTCTTTGCTGCAAGAAGAAACTAGTTATAATTTTGCACCAAAATAATATATTTGCTTAAATTAATCTTCAAAAGGAGAATAACTTTTTATATATGAATTATTATTTATTAGGAATGATATAAAAGTCATGTTTTGTAAGTGAATAATGTTATGTGGAAGACTTGTTATTTCATTAAAACATTTTATGATATAGTATCCATAAAAAGTAATTAAGTTTTGGCAATCAAAGTATTCATAGTATTCAGAGCTATGAAAAAATATTAAAACCACCAGGTGTCAGGATATGTAAGACAAGAAACCTCAAGCATAGAAAAGTCTGGAAATCAAGAAAGACACTGAAAAAAAAAAAAATTTATGACACACTACATTTGTGTTTTACATGCTGAATAATGTTATTGTACTCATTCACTAATATATCAGAAGGCTTATTCATTTAAATAATATACAAAACTTCACTCCTTTAGGCCAGTGTGGACATGTATGTATAACTTTAGATGAAGTAAGCTTCGATACTGATATGATTATCCTTACCAAGATTACCTTAATCTTCCCTATGGATGGATGGCAAAGAAAATGAGAAAATGTAATTATAAAGAAAATTAAGAAAAACTCCATTATTTTATACTTTGCCATTATGAAAAATTACGAAATTGTTGAACCTGCATCTTGAAAGTAAAAATGTGGATCCAGAGAATATGATCTCCACTGTCCACCACCATAGGGTTATGTATGTGAAATTTGGAATTTAAACAGTATTTTGTAAATTTTGATTGACATGCTAGTTACTGAAATGATTTGATAATGGTTATATATTTTACTCGATATACACGAGAGTTGTGTTTAGCCTTGGCCTTTTAGAATATATCAGGATCAAAAGTCCTGTATTAGAACAGCAAGCTTACTCAGAGTCAGAGATGCCTAGAGTAATGGCGGAGATCTTGTGGGTGGCGACAAGGGCTGCCGGAAGGGTTGGGGGAGGCGAAGGTGGAGGGGGGTCGGAAGGAGATATGTTGAGGTTGTTTACTTCCATCATGTTGTCCCCCCCACCCACACTGCTCACCACTGGTGCTGGTAGAGCCTCAGGACTTGGGTCTGTTGGCGGATGCAAATGATCAACGCACTGGAGGCAGTGTGTTTACACCTGCCTCTTGCTAGTTGTACTTATGTGTTTAATTACACTGTAAAAATGTTAACACATAACAGAACCAGTTTAAACCAATTTTTAAATAGAGTATTGCTGCTGATATTTCTACGTTGCATTCATTGTTATATTCTTTGGTTTATTTAACATTACTATTTAATGTATTCAATATCCTTTTGTTTTTATATTGATCACTATTATTGTTTTCAATTACTACCCAAATAGTTAATGTTCATATAGTACTTTGAAAACAAATTTTAAATTAACCCATTTCATGAACTATTTTGAACATGTAAATAATTAATGTAACCACTGCAGCTTGGGGAGGGGGGAGGGGGGGGAATAGTGGGGGGAGAAAATAGATATGACCTGCAGAAAAACCAGGGAAAAAAATAAGATTTGAGGAGCAAAAGATTTTTTAAATTTGTGTGAATTGGTCCATTCATGACAAGTCTAGGTAATGCAAAAAAAAAAAAAAAAAATGACCGACTTGAAAATTTCCAGTAATTAAAAGCATTGCACAAAAACAATGGAACCGATTTCAATAATGCAAAGCAGACAATATAATAATGTACTCCAGTAGAAGAGCACTGATTTAGGAGTTTGACTGGGTCTTGTGATGAGTGACGCCTCTGGAGGCCAGGAGGCCTGGTCGACGACCGGGCCGCGGGGACACTAAGCCCCGGAAGCACCTCAAGGTATGCTCACGGTGTCCCGTCTTCTCGGTACTCTCTCATATAACACTTTGAAACTACCGTACTGACGATTTTGGCCTCCACCACCTTCTCACTTGGCTTGTTCCAACTGTCACTGTTAAAAAAAAAAAAAAAAAAAAAAAAAAAAAAAAAAAAAAAAAAAAAAAATTTTGGGGGGCACCTTTGTTTCCTTAGCTTGAATCTGTGTAATCTTGTTTGTGATGTTGCTGGTTTAAGGAAGTTCTCCTTGTTAATTTGGTCGATTCCTGTTAGAATTTTGTATGCGGTGATCATATCACCTCTTTACTTCTATCTTCTAGCTTTAGCATATTTAATGCCTCTTGCCTCTCTTTGTAACTTCGTTTTTTCAGTTCAGGAAGCCATTTTGTAGCATGCTTTTGCATCTTTACCAGTTTGTTGATGTGCTTCTTGAGATATGGGCACCATACAACTGTTGCATATTTCAATTTTGCTCTGACAAAAGTCGTGAACAGTTTCTTCAGTATTTCACCATCCATGTAATTAACCACTCTACCAACACGACTGGACAAAAGAGGATGGTAGCCGAGGCTAATTCCCCATCCCTCTGTTGGTAATCTTGGGCATGGTATGAGGTGATTTGATAAAATACCATGCCCAAGATTACCAACAGAGTGCTGGCGGGGGGATGGGGAATTAGCCTCGGCTACCATCCTTTTTTGTCCGGTCATGTTGGTCGAGTGGTTAAGTGATCCTGTACATCAGATGCATTGCTTCTGGCAGTATGGGTTCGAGTCACTTCTGGGGTGTGAGTTTTCAGTTGCATATATGCCTGGAGACCGTTCAGGCTTGTTCGCTTTTCTGCTTCTTGTTTGTCATTTCTGGTGATGTCCAAATACACTTCCTTGATCGTCTCTTTCTCTTTTACAAGAGAAAAGTGTGACATACAGTACAAGTGTGTTGTGTGTGTCCTGCTACTGATTCTCCTTCCATATTTATGACCAATCAAGTGTTTATTCCAGCTGAATAGGCACATGTCATGAAGGGACCAGAAAAAGAGGAAGAAAGCATCTGCATGAGAATTTTCTCATTTAGCAATGAGGGTAAAAATTTGCAGTGATCATTGAAAACAGACAAATACAGCAAAACAAAGATACAACTTTCTTGTATGACCTAACTGAAAAGTACAGGTATTTTAATTTTTTTTTTTTACAACTATCCATATTGGTTAGTACCTTCTGCTAAGTTGTGAAGGAACTGCTTTTGACTCTGTGGTGTATAGACAACTTGCTGCTGCTGGTTGGATGGCGAATAGCGCTTTTTGTCAGCACTATCTATACTTGATCTGCTTGCACGAGACTCTGTTCGTACTACAAGGTTCTCGGGTGATATTCCTTTGACATCATGAGAGTATGGACTTTCTTGCAAGTAGGAATTACTGTGTGTGTGCAACTGAGAAACATCTGGCGAGTATCTTCTGGTGTCTGGTGAGTAGCGTCTAGAATCTACAGTAGAGAACTTTTTGGTGTCTGGAGAGTAGCGATGCTTTGTGCTTGGTGAATAGGTTCCAAACTGGTTCTCAGCCGGAGAATATCGATTGCGAGCCTAGAATAGAGAAAAACAATCTACATAAATACTGCATATGACAAATTATTATACTGAAGTAGAGAAGATTACAAATACAGTAGTTCTGCCTATTAATAAATTACCTAAAATGAGGTTTAAACTGCAATGCAGTTTTTTTTTTTTTTTTTTTTTTTTTTTTTTTTTTTTTGAGATATATACAAGAGTTGTTACATTCTTGTACAGCCACTAGTACGCGCAGCGTTTCGGGCAAGTCCTTAATCCTATGGTCCCTGGAATACGATCCCCTGCCGCGAAGAATCGTTTTTTCATCAAAGTACACATTTTACTGTTGCGTTAAACAGAGGCTACAGTTAAGGAATTGCGCCCAGTAAATCCTCCCCGGCCAGGATACGAACCCATGACAAAGCGCTCGCGGAACGCCAGGCGAGTGTCTTACCACTACACCACGGAAACTGTTGTTTTTTAATGTTTCAAGATGAATTTTTGATGGGTATGGTTTGTTGACATGCCAGTGCTGGATATGAAACTTTTTCAATAATTGTGTATTGTGAAATATGAATAGTAAAAGGAAAAGGGGTAAGATTCTTTAATCTCTCTGCTGTAGTGTTTTATGGTGATCCTTTACCCAACAGTAGCAATGTTGTCAAAATTCAAAAAAACAGTGTTGAATGTAATGAAACGCCATTTTCTGGGTGAGCCCCAGAGGCTCCCTGGAGCTTATTGGGCTAAGCTGGGAAAATTGTTGGGGAAAACAACTTATTGGGAAAACCCCAAACACAAAGGGGTTTTCCAGGGCCATTGCTCCCTGAAACCTCTCTGAAGGGGCCAGGTTCTGGCGCTGGTCCCTGGTAGGTCTGAACTCCTTAGCTTATGTCCCGGTCTAATATAACATACATTAGCCCAATAAACTCCAGGGAGCCGTAGGGGCTCCCCACAGAAAATGTATTTTATGAATCTATAGACAATATGGAGAATCCTGAGTAAATAATATCTAAATACAGTCATGTAAACTATCATCACCACATAATTACACTGTCATTAATTTTGCTAATCTAGGAATATCCGGTTGGAAGAGGCAGTGGTGTGGTGAGGCAGCAGCAGGTGACATGCACCCTTTAAAGATGCTTTGTGGGCACTGATGGCTTGGCTAATTTGTTATAACATAGCCACACTGTCCCCACGAACCTCTGGTGGGTGGAGGCATAACCATATATCGGTAGACTTGACCTCTGGTTGTCTATATGCAAAAACATCCAGTTATGTCAGCTGCACACAGTGTGGAAATGTATAAAATATCCAGGGATATGAACTACTGTACTGCCTAAGCTTATTCCTTTCACCTGTACAGGTGAAAGGAATAAGCTCATGGACATTTACTTACATGTAACCTACTGTACATGAATACACACATCAATGTGGGAAATGTAAACCACACAAAGAAGGTTGTATTATAAACAATAAATTTACATTCCATTCACCTGGGCTGAATGTTACAATAACTTTAATAAAGTTACAATACATTAAAGCATTTTCTGGGGGGAGCCCCGTCGGCTCCCCGGAGCTATCCCAGGCTGATATGCTAATGTCAGACTTTGGCATCAGTCATGTGTATGGAGTTCTTAGGCCTACCGGGGACCACGGCCAGAACCGGGCCCCCTCAGAGAGGCAAGGGGAGCAATGGCCTATAGAAGCCCCCGTGTAGTTGGAAGCATTCTATGTCTGCCATCGACCGGAACAGGCACCCAGAAAGGTAAGCACCCCAAAACAAACCCCTATTCTGGTTAAAATTGCTACCTAAAACCGAACTAGTGGATAGAACTCCCCAACCGAAAACAAGCAAACTAGTGTGACGTCACACACTGCCGCGCCACTGTCTGCGCAGCTCCCCCCTCCCCGGGAGGGGGAAGGGGGAGCCCCAGACCCCCCGCGCCAGCTACCCACACCTCAGTTCTTGAGGCTGATGCTATAGGCGATGGTCGTGTGCTCTGGCTCCGGTGTCGCTACTGCACTGTGCTTTGCGTGTGGTGTTAGTTTTGTGGGTGCGAGAGCCAGGAGTTATCTTCAGTACTCGGGCTGCATGCGCCTAGGGCTGCCTTCCCTAGGTGCCCTGTAAGTACTGCCCTTGGGGCTTGGGGCCACCTTCCACAGGCTCCTCGGGGTCTGCCTCTGCTGGTCCGTTTTACCTTTCGGTTTTTCGGCCGCCTGTTGGGCTCTTGGGTGTTCTGTTCTCCCTTGTTACCGGCAGGTAAGAGGCAGTTTGCACTGGTAGGGGCGCAGGGTGCTGCTCAGCTTGTATTTCCCGACATCGCGGCCGGCTCTGTTCCTTGGGGTTCGCTGTCCTCTTGCGGGGTTTTGTTTTTCTTTTTCTTTTTGCCTGGTGGGGGGTTCTGTCATTTTATTCAGTTTGTTTTTGCCCTTCCACTGTTCTCCTCGGTGGTGCCCCCTGCTAGGTCCCCGTGAGTGTACACGTCCCTGGGGTTCAGCTTTAGAAGCTTCCACGGTGCTTCAGGTTTTCCTGGGGGGTGAACTTGAGTACCTGAATGAGTGCTTGTTTGCCCCTGCCCTTCCCCGCGATGTGGGCGTTATTCAGCTCCATGTGCAGGTTCCCTCCCTTTCGGCGGCGCTCGTGGCGGAGGACTTGCGCGCCCGGGGCCTTTTGTGTTCGGCCTTGCGATTCTTTTCCCTCCTGGAGCTGTCTTCGGATTGGCTCGTGGAGGATGTGGGGACACTTGGGTCCGTCCCGGGGTCCGGCACCTTGTCCTCGGCTGCGCGTTCGTCGGCTGCCTTGTTGAAGCTGTTCACGCCGATTTTGCGGGATGCGGTTTCCCTGTTCTATGCTTCCCGTCTCGAGTGTCGGCAGGCGGTGCTGGGTTCCTCCGTGGAATCTGCTTGGGCTCTGGCTCTTAGGCGTTCTTCACCTTTTTGTCCTCTCCTGTTTGGGGAGTCGGCCGTGGCGCAGTTTATTCAGGCTGCGTCGGCGGCTTGTCATCCGATGTCGGACTTGTTGGTTTTCCGGGGGTCCCGGGGTGGGTCTTCCCGGAAAGGTCGTGCCAGGGCTCGGGGTTCCTCTCGTCGTGGTAGGCCTCTGGTGTCAGGTTTGGGGTTGGCTCCTCCAGCGGACCCTCCCTCGTCTGGTCGGCGCGGTGTTCGCGCTGTGCGGGGTTCTGGGTCTCGTAAGGGTCGCCGGCCCTTTCGCGGTTTGCCCCATTGACGGGGCGATGGGGGGGGGGGGGGCGGCTTGCGCTGTTCGCCTGCGCCTGGTCCCACGATTCGTGGGCCTTTTGGGTCGTGTCTCGCGGCCTGCGGTGGCGTTGGGTGGCCCCTCTCCCCTTTGGGGGGTCGGGGCTGGCAGGGCAGGCTTCTTCCCCTGCGCTCTGTCGAGTCGTCTTGGAGTGGGTACGCTTGGGCGTCGTCGAAACGACGTCGTCCATCAGATGGGTTTCCCGTCTGTTTCCGGTTCCGAAACGGGACTGCGCGGACCTGCGGTTCATTCTGGACTTGTCCCGTCTGAACCCCTGGGTTCATTGCCCCTCCTTTCGGATGACTACGCTGTCTCAGGTTCGGCTCCTCTTGGAGCCGGGAGCTTGGATGGTGTGCCTGGACCTCCGGGACGCTTATTGGCATGTCCCGCTTCATCCGCGGTTCAGGGACTGGCTCGGTTTTGTAGTGGGGCGTCTGAGTTACCGCTTTCGTTGTCTCCCGTTCGGGTTGAACCTGGCACCTCGCGTGTTCACACGCCTTACACGGGTTGTGGTGGCTCGTTTGCGTCTCCTAGGTGTTCGGGTGTTGGCCTACCTCGACGACTGGCTGGTTTGGGCTCCCAGCCAGTCAGCTTGCTTGCTAGCCAGGGATTTGGTTCTTTCCCAGCTCGCCGGGTTCGGGTTCTTGGTGAACTGGAGGAAGTCCCATCTGGTTCCCTCTCAGGTTCGGACTTGGCTGGGTCTCGTGTGGGACTCTCGAACCGCCTCCTTGTCTCTCCCTCCGGAGTCTCTCCTGCGGCTGCGGTCCCGCCTTCGTCTGTTTCTGGAGGGCCCTCGGGTCACCAGGCGGTTGCTCGAGGGGCTGTGCGGGAGCCTGAACTTCGCGATGGTGGTCTACCCGCCGGGTCGGGTTTGGCTTCGACGGCTGTTCTGGTTCCTTCGGGGTTCCCCCTTACGCCTCTCTCGCGATCGCAGAGTTCGACCCCCGGGGGACTTGCGTCGGTTGCTGCGTCACCGGCTTCCTCTTCGGGTTTTTCGGGGTTCAGTGCCTTGGCGCCTACCCGAGCCCTCGCTCGATGTGTACACGGATGCGTCGTCTCTCGGCTGGGGTTTTGTGACCAGTGCTCACCAGGCCGGCCAGGGGCGTTGGGATCCGTCCTTCCGTCGAGCTCACAGTACGGTGCGGGAGTTCGCGGCGGTGTGGTTTGCTCTGGGGAGGATTCGGGTGGCCCGCGGATCGACGATTCGGCTCCATTCGGACTGCTCTCCGGTGGTTCATTGCCTGAACCGCGGGGGTTCGATGCGGTCCTTGTCTCTTTGGGGTTGGTCGCTTCGGGTGACTCGTCTGCTGAGTTCTCGGGGTTTGGCTCTCCTGGCGGTTCACGTACGGGGCGTGTCCAACGTCTTGGCCGACGCCCTGTCTCGCTTCGTTCCCCTCTCCACGGAGTGGACGGTCGACAACGAGTCCTTCCGTTGGCTTTGCCAGACGTTCGGGCGCCCCGAAGTGGACCTCTTCGCGTCGGCGTGGTCGCGGCGTCTTCCCGTTTATGCGGCGCCCTTCCCCGATTGCGAGGCCGTCGGGGTTGATGCCTTTCGGCTCAACTGGTCGAGGTGGGGGTTCCTGTACCTCTTTCCCCCGGTTCGGCTGTTGCCTGACTCGCTTAGAGACTTACCGGGGGAGAGTTGTCCTTCTGGCCCCTTGGTGGCCGGCCCAGCCTTGGTTTCAGGCGCTGGTTGCTCGGTGTCCGAACCCGAGGATTTTCCCGCGGCTCCGCCTCTTTCAGCAGATCGGGCCGGTACGTCACGTAGCTGGTTCGATCTTCTCCTCGAGTCTTCGCGTATGGTTTTTTTGACTCGAGTCTATCATCATCTCAATGGTGATCAGGTGGCCTCCTTGTTGGTGTCCCACCTGAGGGCTTCTTCTCGGCGGCAGTATGAAGTTTCCTGGCGGTCCTTCCGTTTCTTTTTGCGTCTTCGTCGTGTTAGCTCCTTGTCTGTTCGGGTGGTCTTGTCCTTCCTCTCGTGGTTGTTTCAGGACCGTCATCTTATGCCTAACACTGTCGCTTCGTATCGTGCGGCGCTGGCGGAGCCGCTTCAGCTTGCTTTCGGTATCGATGTTACGTCTGCGCCGTTTCGCAAGCTGTCTCGTGCATTGTTTCACCTCCGGCCTGCTCATGCGTCGCCTGAGCCGTCCAGGTCTTTGGACAGAGTGCTCGCTTTCCTTTCATCTCCTCGTTTCGTTGTGGCCCCTTCGGTCCAGGATTGTTTTTCCAAGGCACTTTTCTTGTTGGCTTTGGCCTCTGGGGGTCGGGTAGGGGAGCTTCATGCTCTCCTCCGGCGCAGGGGTTTCTGCTCTTTTGGTCGTGGTGATAGTTTTGTTCGTTTGCAGCCGTCTCCTTCTTTTCTGGCGAAGAATGAGACTGCTGCGTTCCGGAGGGGTCCATGGGTGGTTGATGCTTGGTTGGTCAGGCCGGGGGTGCATCATGTTTTGTGTCCGGTTGCGGCGCTTCGCCGTTATTTGCGCGCCACAGCTTCTGTGTCCGGGGACGCGCTGTGGGTTGATCCGGTTTCCCTTCTTCCCTGTTCGCGGGTTCGGGTCTCTCAGGTCGTCCGCAGGGTTATTAGGTCCAGCCAGCCTGCGGTCTATCCCCGTGCCCATGACGTTCGTAAGTTCGCGGCTCTTGCTGCCGTCTTTGGGAATATGTCTTGGTCTGATATTCGGGCGCGGGGATTTTGGCGGTCGAACAGGGTCCTGGCTGCTCGTTACCTTGTGAATGTCCCTGGGCCTCGTCGGGCCTGTGTTGCTTTGGGTCGGCGGTTGCAGCCAGTTGTCTCGGCTTCGAGTTGAGGGGTGAGCGACGACCGCCTCCCGGGTAAGTCCCTCTGAAGCACCGTGGAAGCTTCTAAAGCTGAACCCCAGGGACGTGTACACTCACGGGGACCTAGCAGGGGGCACCACCGAGGAGAACAGTGGAAGGGCAAAAACAAACTGAATAAAATGACAGAACCCCCCACCAGGCAAAAAGAAAAAGAAAAACAAAACCCCGCAAGAGGACAGCGAACCCCAAGGAACAGAGCCGGCCGCGATGTCGGGAAATACAAGCTGAGCAGCACCCTGCGCCCCTACCAGTGCAAACTGCCTCTTACCTGCCGGTAACAAGGGAGAACAGAACACCCAAGAGCCCAACAGGCGGCCGAAAAACCGAAAGGTAAAACGGACCAGCAGAGGCAGACCCCGAGGAGCCTGTGGAAGGTGGCCCCAAGCCCCAAGGGCAGTACTTACAGGGCACCTAGGGAAGGCAGCCCTAGGCGCATGCAGCCCGAGTACTGAAGATAACTCCTGGCTCTCGCACCCACAAAACTAACACCACACGCAAAGCACAGTGCAGTAGCGACACCGGAGCCAGAGCACACGACCATCGCCTATAGCATCAGCCTCAAGAACTGAGGTGTGGGTAGCCGGCGCGGGGGGTCTGGGGCTCCCCCTTCCCCCTCCCGGGGAGGGGGGAGCTGCGCAGACAGTGGCGCGGCAGTGTGTGACGTCACACTAGTTTGCTTGTTTTCGGTTGGGGAGTTCTATCCACTAGTTTGGTTTTAGGTAGCAATTTTAACCAGAATAGGGGTTTGTTTTGGGGTGCTTACCTTTCTGGGTGCCTGTTCCGGTCGATGGCAGACATAGAATGCTTCCAACTACACGGGGGCTTCTATAGGCCATTGCTCCCCTTGCCTCTCTGAGGGGGCCCGGTTCTGGCCGTGGTCCCCGGTAGGCCTAAGAACTCCATACACATGACTGATGCCAAAGTCTGACATTAGCATATCAGCCTGGGATAGCTCCGGGGAGCCTCCGGGACTCACCCAGAAAATGGCGTTTCATTACATTCAACGCTGGTTTTTGACTAAATCTGACTAGCAAAGAATATTCAAGAAAAGTAAGAATGTTGAGTGTGATTAAATATAACTAACAATTTGTACAAGACTGACCTGGTCCATATAGCGAGACAAGGAGGGACGAGACTCCACCCGCAGGTTGTCTGCTTTATCTGGCATCTCGTTATCTGATGCTGTCGTAGTGGATAGTCTCTCACTTGCCCAAAGTGGGGAGGTCACATTATGTTCTGGCCACAATAACAAAATTATTCATACATAAATTTGCTGTTTTAGATTATAGATGAACTTTAATTGTAATTATTAAAATGAGAATACAAGCACATACTTACTTAATCATTTCACTACCCACTTTTCATGGGGTGAGGAGACACATGAATCCAGAGAAAAGTAAGTGAGCAATATAAATAAAAAAAATTAATTTGTTAGGTCATCCACATAGCATAGTATCATGTATAAACAAGCAGCACTTCACTGATTCATAAGATGAGGTGTACAGTGCTTGTGAATATTCATATACAGTACATAATAAATGCAGTTACTGTACTATACACTCCTGTCCTTAGTTTGTTCACTTACTGTACTATTCTTACAAATTACTGCTACCCAGTCTTGTCTTTTACCATATCCAATATGCTGTGCACATGCACAACCTACTTTCTCACTCAGGCCTTCCTTATCTCAATTTTAATCAAATATACCAATCGGTCATTTAACATGCTCAAATCCTCTTGGTATGTTCTCCTTAATCTTGCAGTTTGTCTACTTTTGTGCAACACATCGAAGATTTTAATTTCTATTTCCCATTATTGGGGACAAGAAGCCTGTTAAGCTTATTGAGGCCTCCTTAGGCCAACAACTGACTCTTCCCAGGATGCAAACTACAACAAATGTTGTACTCCCAGGTACCCCATTCATTGCTAGGGAAACAGTGACCAGGTACTCACCTAGTTGTGCTTGCGGGGGGTTGAGCTTTGGCTCTTTGGTCCCATCTCTTGTGGGAAACTTGTATGTATGGTGTATGGAAACTTGCCCAAATGTCTTATCCTGTGCTGAAATCGAAGCCGGGATCATTTGGCTCACTTTGTTGACCACAGTATTACAGGACACCTATCCACTTATTTTCAACAGATGCTTCTCAGATTGTCTACTTCAACTTCTTTAACTTGCTATCACTGAAGTGTTTTGTAGCCATACACAAGGGTTGGCTCTACCTTTACTTCATGCAGAATTACCAGAATTTTCCTGAGGTCCACCATTGCTCTAGTGGCCTCAACAATGACAGGAAGTCAGCGGGTTGTCAAAAGATCCACCATTTTCCCTGATGGTTTAATCTAACTGGATTTTGAACTGTAGCAATATTTTGGCATTTTTTTTTTTTTTTTTACCTGAGGGCCACTAACCTTAGTGGCTTCAACGAGGACAGGAAGCAGACACTTATGATTACATCTGCAAATATTCCTTGCTCATTTTTCCTAGCCATGGCTTTCATTACACCATCCAATTCCCTTCCCTAACTCGCTCTACTCTCAATTTTCAATACATAAATTCCTCTTTTTATTAATCATTCATGCTAGGTAATTGAAATGATTGATGACTACTTGCACTTCAAAAAAAAAAAAAAAACAGCAATGTACAACACTATGTACAGTAATGTGAACACTATCCAATTTTCTTACTACTGTTTCTATGTTAAAAATGTTGAAATATTGATAATGAAATATAATTTCAGTATACTGTACTAAATTTTAGTTTTCCAATAAAGTTTGCACTAAGCATCATCTGCTAACCTTTATAAATCCCTGGGTATGCAGGTGGGAGCTGAGAGGACCAATGTGTGGCATAGAGAGGGCGTATATTATGTAGGAGAGGGGACCCTGCAGCCCCTGTAGGACCAGATCCACCAATCATGCCAGGAGGTGGAGGGGGAAGTGCTTCTGCGGTTGTGTCAAGATCGTAGATGTTGGGCAGATAACTAGATGGCTTAGGCGGAACTTCTACGAATACCAAAAGGGATTAAAATAAATTTTCTAGCTACAGCACTTTTGTATCGCTAGTTATCATTTAAAAACATGAATATAGTATTCTATATTCATATCACTAATTTTTATTGCTATTCAATCTACAACATAAGAAACAATTACTAATTAAATATGATGGTAAAAAAGTGATGATACAATGAGTAAATATAAAGTTAAGAAGAAATCTATCATTTCTTTACATCAAAACACTACAGTATATAGAAACTACTTACCTGGTGGAGGGTTGGTCCTTCTTTCATTGACTCTAAGGGTGCCATTGTGTGTAGTTGTATCATCTTCATCACTAGAGTGCGAAGATGCTAGGTCCAAGGATCGGTGATCCAGGCTCAACTCACTCTCACTCTCGCTCTCCCGATGCTTACTGCTGCTGCGCCCTGTAGCACCTGAAATACATGATTCTTTGGATATTTTAATTCTTGCCAAATTTAGGTAAATGTTTAAAGCAGTTGTTTTTGCATGAACATACCACATAAACAAAAAACTTACATTTTTATACATATCACCTGTTCATAGTTGCATTTGTGAAACAAAAATATTTAATAAAGAGTAGAAGTGATAATGATGCTAGTACTGTCAAAGCTATATTACCTCATGGTTATCTAATGAATCTTAATTCAAAATATATATAACTTCCAATGTAAAATTTAGTCCAAGACTTCACAATATTTTATAAAACAGAATAGGTGAAGTAGTACGCTTAGAAGAAGGTACTTGCCACTATACGCGAAAGTCTTATCAATGCAGAAATACACGATTTGAGTTGACTTTACTGATAAATAGTCAGATCTTGGGGTTTCTCTACATCACTGTCAACAATGTGTTCTTAACCAAGTCTTATCTTTTTTATAAAAGTACTATACTGTAGTGGTAAAATTAATGTTTTTCTTGCAATTTCCTCATTTATTGCCTTTTAAGTTATTAAAAGTGGCAATGAACAATGTTTACTGCCAAAAATACTTCAGAATTATTCATTTATTGTACTAGCGAATAAGTGTATTGGGATGCATTAACAGTCTAAAGTTTGGGGACCCAAAGATTCAGAAGAGTTGACAAGTTAATTCTTTATACATTTTAAATTAGCTCCTGTACAATACAGTATATACCAACAAGCTTCTTATTTGGAATTATTTCACTTTGCTTAGTAGCAATCAGGATAATTACAAGAAAGCTCTCATTTAACCTTAATCCTATTTAATATGGGAATGGTAAATAATATAACCAACAGAGTAATGAAAAAGACTGATATCCATTTCAACCTCACCATGCTTTCTGTGGAACATAGTAGAGTCATTGTAAGCATAAGGCGATTTGACAGACTGAGAGTTAAGATCTGTATTAGAATTGTAGTTGCTAGGAGTGCTGGAAGAGGCAACCCGTCCTCCTGCAATTGCTCCTTCACCCCGACTGTAAGGGGAACTGGAAGTCTTGCAGGTGGAACGTGATGTTGTACTGGCAGTAGAAATTCCAATGTTGCGACGCAGAATGTTGAAGTCATCGTTATATGTCAGAGCAGAACGCTGTTAAAAAATGAGAAATTATATTAGTTATATTTTCAGATGTGGCAGGCTTTAAGGGGGGAAAGCAAGCAGTACTATGGGAGAGATTTTAAGTTTTGCTCTTAAAGTGTCAAAAAGTATAAGAAATTATATTTCTATGAAATACTGGCTGAATGTTTCATCCAGCTTGAGTAAATTTTTAATATACAGTACTAGCCCTCCAACAAGTGTAGAATACTTACTTTTCATGCAAGGACCAGATAGTATTTATGAATCAACCCACTTATAAGTTTAGCCATAGTAACATTTACTTCTTTTCAAATTTAAATTCAATAAATATAATACCGTAAAAATATCTGTCTTTGCAAAAAAGTGCAATCATCAGTTACAGTTTTATAGACACTACAGATACTTACAGACACTACAGAGGTTCTGGTGACACTGAGTGACTCTTGGTATGGCACCTTCTTCCCAGTACAGGTGAGGAACATGAAGTAGAGAGAGTCCCTGACACGACTGTTCAAGAGGCAGTATCCCACCAGAATAAATACTGCAGTCAGGAGCGAGAATACAGAGAAGAAGTAGTGGAGAATTTCAAGGTCCTCTGATACGGACAAGACGGCCAGGACCCAGGTGGCACCTAGCAGTGGTAGGAACAGAATCCCTAACCACAGGAGAGTCCTAAAGGTAACATAAAATGTGATTAGCTTTTGTTACCTTAGAACAGTTTTCTGAAAATACTGCATGAAAGATAATCCGTCATGCTGATAAAATTTGAGAATAATCAGTCTTATTATGGTTGATAATTTTAATGATAATACTGAAATTCAACTAAATTTTCTCGAATAAAATCTTTAAAATTTCATACTCTTACCTCAGATTGCCAAATCCTTCCACATGACCTTTGAGCGTGAGTGAGGCACGGATAGCCATGACAAACACAAGGAGGATAATTATGACAATAGCACAGATAGGCCCAACCAATGCCCACACCACAGACTCATAAATGGACAACCAGCAGCTGCAGGAGGAATGACAAATATGTGAGTACAGCATAGTGATAGCCAGTCATGTTTAAAATATACAGCAATATGTGGACCTAAAGTGTTACTGGACATAAATAGGCAGGAGAGAATGGTGGCGTGAGGTGAGGTACAATACGTGTACACTGCAGAGGGCCATATTGGTGAGATACACGTATTGTACCTCACCTCACTTCACCATTCTCTCCTGCCTATTTATGTCCAGTACTCGATCTGTAAAATCACTCCTTCTGAAGATGTATTAATATACGAAAGTACTTAAGGAAATTCCCGTTTCATTTTTCCTCTGTGGTCTGACACTGTCTCATATATACACATATATACATACATACATACATACATACATACATACATATATATATATAAATAAAATATACGTATATTGCATTGTGTTACAATTTACAGAAAACACTCGTATATATGTATATAACAATCACTTTTAGAAAGACCTCATCCAGCTCTTCCGGGGAAAGAGAGAGCCATGATCGAGTCCTGCCTCTTGACCCTAAATTGATTGGTGTATTGGTTAGAAGCCCAACAGGCTCTTGAACCCTTATTGGATAATGTGAATGGAGTTTGCCTCAATCACTTCACATCTTTGCACATTCCATTTGTTCACTATCCTTACCCAAAATTACTCTTTAAATTATGTTTTCCCCATTATATTGGCATTTCTCTTCCTGCACTCAGATTTACTCAGATATTATCACTATATTATCATACGTTGACATAATATGATCATATCATTATAGCGCACACACTACAATCATGAGAATTAGAGAGTTTTGAGCTCTAGATATTTCCACAGGAATATTACTCCTAATTCTGTCTATCAGCTTAACATGATATGAACTCTTCACATTATTCACCTCTGTTGTACTACCGCCTACATCTTTATGCAAGAGAAGGAACAATAACTCATCCAGGATTCTTCCCTAACTACTTCTTACTAATAAAGAATCACTATACAAGTCACTTATCTTCTCTGATGTGCTCAGCATTCAATATTGCTTGCACAAATTTTGCTAGTAACATTTCAGGCAATTAAACACATCAGTTGGTTACATTAATTTTCCATCCTACACTGAATTTCACACACTATTACCTTAAAAGTATTGAATTAATTAAAAACATATCACTTATAATGACTTACAAGAAGTAATTGCCATACTGGTCTGCCCTGACTCCCACAGACAATCCTACAATGATGGCAGGAAGACCATAGCCACAGGAGTAGTAAAAGCGCATCTGGCCATGGTTCACATCCCTCATCTCTGTCAGCATTCGGTATAGGTGGACACCCTCAATCAACAGCCAAGTGAACACACACAGCCAGAAGTAGTGTAGGCCAATAGCCACCAATTTACATGGGAACTATAAGTAAAATAAACAGAATGCTCTATAAGGTCAATGTACTGCAAAATGTATCTTTCAAAAATGTGAGCCATAAAAAAGGGTATTGCTGCTGGAAATGAGATTTTATGTGGCCATTCAAGTGTGACAAGCACAAACAAGTTATGAACTAGTATTGCTGAAGATAAAAGGTGTACAAAGAAAAGATAGCCCTGAAGGCTTAAAAGCATTAACATTAAGTAAAAATACTTTATTACTAATGTACAATGGCTCATCTGAAAAATATAAGAGATGATTACGAAGACTGATAATTGGAAAATATTTTACATTATCTTTTGTTATTAAGGTAAGAAAGAACCTTGAACACTAGGAACAATGAAAGAAGTGAGAGAGGCACATCTGTCACATTACAGGCAATGCCTTTCTAATTTCTTGGGGCAAGTTTCATGCCCCACAAAACTGAGAAATAGAGATCATAATGGGTATAATATTGAGGGTACTAGAGTTGATAAGAATGACATCCTCTGTTTTGTCATAAAATGAAGAACAGTGCTTAAAACTGAACACCGAGCATCAGCTAATTCAAATTATCTTTAGCAAAAAATGGAACTGGTAGGGTTTGGGAAGATCCTCAGGAAAAGCACAGCAATAGCCTCCACCACAAAATAGAAGTATAGTTAAATAATATGTATTTAAATTCACATAAAACTAGATTTGTATTGATCACAACCAAATGAAGAAGGTATTATTAGTGTTACAAGACTAGCATACAGTACATACATTAACATTCACAATTTGGTAATCTTACCTCTTGCTGCACAAGGATGTGTCTGATCTTGAGTGCAGCCAGGAAAAGGAGTTGCACCAGAAAAAGGCAGGCAGTGAGGTTCTTGTGGATGGTATTGGAGTTGGTCTGTGCACCTCGTAGCATACAGAAGGCAATAAAAGCCATCAGGAGCAACACCAGTGATAACACCAGTCCTGTGTATGTGGTCACATCCTCTGCGATAGATGGCTCAGCCAGGAACTGATCAATAGCAAAAACAAATCGATAGGAATTTGAACATAAAAGAAAACAATGAACTGGAAGATATGTTGTACACCAATAATCCATCTTTCACAGCATTTAAAAACATTACATCAAATTCATACATGCTCAGTACACCCCCCCCCCCTTTATTCACTTCATAATGTGTTACTATACTTAGAATGGTTGCAAAGTCAATAAATTACTGTTATATCTATGTTAGAGTTAAGCAATATCAAATATTAGTGACAAAGCATTAAAATGTGTATGAGCTCATTTTCAATTACAACATTTCTTGCTATCCAGTTGAGTTGTACATGCAACATTTTATCCCTATACATTTTACATACAGTGTACATGTATTAAACTGACTAAACTTCTTAGCTTTGTCCCTTTCATTTCCTTATCCCACTATCACATCATTCCCTCTTCCTCATGTAAATAGTTTGTATATTGAATAGTGAAACACCAATGTTTCCAGCACTTTATGCTCTCTTTTTTTTTAATTAATACATAGTATGTATGTATATATTATTACATTGTGTATACTGTATAACTCATTACTTACTTCTGCCTCGGCATCATTAAGGATGACAGCAAAACTGGAGAGGTGGTTACAGGTACAGTTAATGAAGGTGTCGTTAATGTAGTCACCATAGCCATGCTCTGGTTCACTGGTCTCGCACCCATCACGTGTCCACACCCCTTCACTACTGTAAATGTCATGTATGTTACAACAGTCAATATAATGCAATTACAGTATTACAAAGTAATTTCAAGCTGCAATAAAATAAGGAATTTTTGAGGGTGTATAACAAGAGTAGATTCATATTTGGAATTGATCAGATTTTTAAATTTATATACTGTACATGTACTGTATATTTTCTGTAAAAAAATATTAAAATGTAATTTTATTAATACTTGCCTTTCAAGTTTTGTAACCCAAGTGACACATTGAGGGTTGGCCCGTTTCCCAACATGGCCCAATCGAAATCTAAGCCTCACATCAATGTTAATTTTATTTTCTATCAGTCCTCCATCAGAGGTGTGGACAGCTACAGTAAAGACTGGGGAACGTACAGCTAAGCCAACGCCCCATCGCTGCTCTACATCCACATCATAAGTTTCAGGAAGTAATATGCCCAGAGAACGGAACACGACATAGCTGACCACTGCACGAGTACTGCCCAGTGTGCCTGAGGTCGAGGTCTCATCTGTTATAAGGAACGTGTCTACAAAATTAGTCTACTGCATATCATAAACCAATGCAATTGTCTATCACCTTGACAATACTGTATTAACACAAAAATTATATTTAAGTTAATTTTCAAAAGAGGGAACCAAATAACACTTGGATTTGACATGTATTGTATAGTACAGTACAGTACTAAACTGTCCAGTTGACTCCCAAATCTGTGTGGTCATAATCTGCATTGTAAATAAAGGACCATTAAATTACTTTATGACTAAAATTCACACTTACATGTGTTTAAATGGTGATGCAATTAGTGTGATAAATTTGATTCAGTGGAGGCCCCACATTGTTAGTCTGAGAACAGATATTATCTTCTCAACTTTTATGAGCAACTTTGACTCTGGTCCTGCTGTTTGGCAAGCCTGCACAGATCTAGAGGACTAGTAGTACAGTATTGTGGGTGTCTGTGTTACCAGAGCCAATGTACTAGGGAGCTAAATTGAGGTTTCCCAGAAAAAGGCATTTCTGTTCATTCAATGCTTGAGTTTTAGAGATCTTAAAATTTCTTCACTTCACTGACAATGAAACTTTGGATGCAAATGACTAAGTGGAATATCAGACATGTGTTTATGCATAAAAAAACAGTATTGAATGTAATGAAAGGCAAGTTTCTGGGTCAGTCCCAGAGGCTCCCTGAAGCTATCGTCACTGATTAAGTGCCATACTACCTAATGTCAGCAGTTGCAGAGTTCTTTTTGCCTACCGGGAACCATGATCCAGAACCTGGCCTCCCTCAGAGAGATGCAGGGAGCGATGGCCTATGATCACTTTACATTTAAAGGATATTATCTTTGCCATCACTAGGGAAGACACCCAGAAAGATAGGCAAATCAAAACAAACCACTGCCTGGTTTAAAAATAAACTGAAGCCCCAGAATGCCAAAAGAACTCCCAAGAAGAAAAGAAACAACTAAAACTTAGTGAAGCTAGCCTCCCCCACTAGTTAGCTTCACTTTCCCCCTAATTGGGGTAAAGGAGGGAGCTGGCCCGGGCAGGCTGGGCCAACCAACTTCCAGTTCTTTAACCCTTAAACTGCACACATTGTATAAACTGTATACGATTTGAGCAACCAAACCATGCACATTGTAATATACAACTGAGGATGCCGTGCATGATTTAAAGTCTCGCACAGTAAAGGGGGCACCCATATGGTAGCCAAGGGCAATAGTAAACAGATGCCATCTTAGAAAAAAAATCCAGCGTAGGCCGCCATTGTATGAGGCCCCAATTTCACGACAGACTCCATGGCGAGCGCCATGTACCAGCTGCTGACTGCGCTCAGCGCATATTTGTCCCAATCTTTGACTGAGGATGAAATTCATCAGGAATTGTTCCAGGAGGGTGAGGAACCTGATATTAACAACTCGGACATAGATGAAGACTACACACCGTCCTCAGATGTGGATACGAGGGATATTGAAAGTGAACATGTGGGTGCCACGAGGGTCAGGCATAGGTCCTCATTTGTGCCACCCTGCCCTCACTCGCCACCAATTCGCACCCAACCACACAGTTCATGTGTTACTTTGTCAGATTATTATGTTTTGGTTGATGAGTCTGTTGAAGGCAACTCATTTTCTGGTTTTAGTGATGTAAATTCAGAGAATAGTATTACCATGCCTGTTGCTAGTGCCACTGGTGTTACCAAGTGATGTTTTGTCGGGTCAGCAGCATCTCGCCCACTTAGCACCGCTGCATGGCACCACATGAAGACAATGAGGAACCCTCATCTTCAAGTAAATTTCCATCATCGTTGGTTCCCAACCGTTACGGTATCGACACCATAGCCGGAGTGGGGAATAGCGATTCTTGCGCCTTCTATGATACCTGGTTGATGTGGTTCTGGGAGTTCTTCTACTCCCAAAGCCTGGCCTGAGGCCAGGCTTGACTTGTGAGAGTTTGGTCCAACAGGCTGTTGCTTGGAGCGGCCTGCAGGCCAATATACCCACCACAGCCCGGTGGGTCCGGCACTCCTTGGAGAAAGTTATCTAGTTTTCTCTTAATTAAAGATGTCCACGGTTGTCCCGGCAATATTTCTTATACTCACTGGGAGGAGGATGAACAACCGCGGATTTCTGATGTTTATACAGTACCTGCACATGGTCCAGTACATGGACCTGTACTCCAACTCCCCGGTATTGGGTGCAACGCAAGTAACGCCATCTGTTGGTCGTGGCATGGCATCGGTAAAGGGCTCTGGTTTCCTGCCTCAGTTAGAAGGCGAGGTCGATGAGGATGACCTCCGGTGGGTGGTGTATCAAGATCAACGCCACCACACAGTCGGTCGACCCAAACATATATCAACAAACTCGCCAAGTGAGGCAAAGCTCGTAAACCAACTTGAATTTTTTGAAGAAATTGAGCTCACAAACCAAAAAATTTAAAGAAGGGGGGGGGGGTATTCATAAACCGAGGTTCCACTGTATTTACAAACAGAAAAATCAAACTAATGTGATATACATCAATGAGAAAATCCACTGGGACTGTGAAGTGACATGAACCCATGACCAAGGCATTGCTAACCTCATATTTTACCACTGTACCACCACTGACTTGTTGAAAGTCTTACAACTGGATTTTTACTGAAATCACAGTAACTCTGGAGGTCCCTCCTGAAGCCAATCCAAGTTTAACTTAAGACCTGCAAGCACTTGGGTGAAGGGTAAAGTAGTTCAACATTGTACACCCCAACTTCAGATACACACAAATCTTCACCCGAGTGCTTGGGGGTCCTATTTAAAACTTCGATTAGCTTCAGGAGGGGCCTCTAGACTTACTTTGGTTTCAGCAGCAATCCGGTTTTAAGACTTAACAAGTCAGTGGTGGTACAGTGGTAGAGTATGTGGCTGACAATGCCTTGGTCGCATGTTTGGGTTGCCTCACAGCCCCGGTGGATTATCTCAATCATTATTATTATTCCATTTTGAATTAAATTCTTGGTCCTAGAACAAACCCTATTTATCTCACAAGAACCTAAACAAAACCTTGTGGTATAAACTTACACTGGAGTCGAGGCATTTATAACAGTTTTGATTTAGGAGTCAAATGTACAGTATTTATAGCTGGCAATGCCATTTAATGTTTCGTAATATTCACAACAGACGTTTGGACTTACCCTGCTTAACATCTGGAATGCCAACCAATGAGAGAGGGATGCGGATATTGGTGCTGTGGACCCATGTCTGCTGGTTCTTGAGGTAATTGTTGTATTTTGGTATAATAACAGAGACTTGACCTTGACCTGGGTAATGCTTATCTACTAGAGAAGATGTCTCAGGAATGATTACGTGGTCCACTCTGTCATCGTGACCCACCACAAATCCTGACTGACTGTACCCGTATAACTCGTCTGCCGATACTGTGTCCATTCCGAACACTTTATAAAGAAGGATTTGTTTGTGAGAATTTTACATCAGGTATAGTAAGATTTTTATATGAAGTATGAATATCAGAAAATTAAATTTGAGTGCAACAGAATAATTAGCATTAATAAATATCTTATCCATATAAAGTAATGTATACTACTGAACAAATACTTTAATACATATGATGAGTGTAAAAGAAATGATAATAGAGTACTTCTTGACTCCTTTTCCTATACAGTACTAACCAACATGTTTGGTAGGAATTTCAAAAGGAGTTGTGTAAGTATCGCTTTGGCTGGTGGCTAGGGTAGCTACATATTCATCCATCTTTGTCAGCAGGGAGTCTGCTCCAAAACCCTCCACACCATTGATTCTCTGCCAATGTGGGGCATAAACTGGTTGTAGGATTACGGATGCTGATTCCACTAGATTCTGAAATGGTGAAGGAAAAATTATGGAATCAATGTTTACTTAAAAATTGGCCAAGATATCTTTGAAAGAAAAATTTATGCAGTTTGAAAAAGGAAAAAGCAAAGAAGTTATATCTCAAAATGGCCAGCAATATCTGGTAGTCATAATAGTTCTAATAAAGCTTGAATTTGGTCGCACCACAAACAATTCTACTGGAAAAGAGAAAAGCAATATTTATAGTTTATGTGGGTTTATTATTATATTTATATATAAAAGGGAAGGGAGTACTGTACCACCTCTTTTTTGCCACACTTCCCTACCCTATTGCGGCTAAAATATGCCACCTATGATTTTTTTGTTATTTTTTTCCGTGATCAGGGAACAAAAATGAACACTTCTGTAAGACGAAAGAATTTTTTGAAATTTTTTTTTGTTGCGCCTGTGGGTGTTAAATCCATTTGGACCCCTAGCGGTTTGAGGGCTAAACTAGCTAAACACAGATGCTGAAGAAATATAAGAAAATTCACTTTCGCAAACAGAGTGGTAGACGGTTGGAACAAGTTAGGTGAGAAGGTGGTGGAGGCCAAGACCGTCAGTAGTTTCAAAGCGTTATATGACAAAGAATGTTGGGTAGACAGGACACCACGAGTGTAGCTCTCATCCTGTAACTACACTTAGGTAATTACTTAGGTAATTACCTACTTAGTGTGTAATTACCTAATTACTTAGGTAATTACACATACACACACACCACACACACACACACACATGCTTTCGCTTTTGTCGCTTTCCAACTTCAGACTTGCTTTTAATTATATGGATGGTGAAATACTAAAAAAAACTGTTCATGACTTTTGTAAGACCAAAATTTGAATATGCAGCAGTTGCATGGTGCCAAAATCTCAAGAAGCACATAAATAAACTGAGAAAAGGTGCAACAGCATGCTACAAAATGGCTTCCAGAACTGAAAAATAAGAATTACAAGGAGACTAGAGGCATTAAACACGTTAAAACTAGAAGATAGAAGAAAAGGAGGCGATATGTTCACCATTAACAAAATACTAATAGGAACCGACCAAATTGACAAAAAGGAATTCTTGAAACCAACAGTTTCATGAACAAGAAGACAGATTCAAGCTAAGGAAACAAAGGTGTCAAAAAAATATTAGAAACTTTTCTTTTGCAAACAGTGGTAAATGGTTGGAACAAGTTAATTGAGAAGGTGGTGAAAGCCAAAACTGTTGATAGTTTCAAAGCATTATATGACAGAGTACTGTACTGAGAAGATGGGACACCACAAGTATAGCTCTCATCCTGTAATTACACTTAGGTAATTACACACATTTATTTATTTTTTTTTTTTTTGAGATATATTCAAGAGTTGTTACATTCTTGTACAGCCACTAGTACGCGTAGCGTTTCGGGCAAGTCCTTAATCCTACGGTCCCTGGAATACGATCCCCTGCCGCGAAGAATCGTTTTTTCATCCAAGTACACATTTTACTGTTGCGTTAAACAGAGGCTACAGTTAAGGAATTGCGCCCAGTAAATCCTCCCCGGCCAGGATACGAACCCATGACATAGCGCTCGCGGAACGCCAGGCGAGTGTCTTACCACTACACCACGGAGACTGTGAATTTATACCAATAGAACTGGAATATAAGATTGGTTCAACAGAAATTGTGAGGGCCTACAAACAAGTAAGAAACAGATACACAGCAGTGAGGAGAGACAGAAAGAAACTTTGAGAAAGAGGTAGGTGACAAATGTAAAACAGATCCAGGCCTTTTCTATAAATTCATTAAAAAGTAAGCTGTATGTAAAAGGTTAAAATCCATAGATTTGAGAATGGAAACAAATTCACAGAGAATGAAAAAGAAATGTGCAAAATACTAATTGAACAGTTCCAAAGTGTGTTTGAGCAAAATAAGGTTTTCAGAGAACTAGACAATGACAATTCCAGAGAACACCACTGAGCACAGAGAGATGTCACAAGATGAAGTGAACAAATTACTCTACGAGCATATGCATTGCTTTCCAACTTCAGAATCGCTTTTAATTACATGGATGGTGAAATACTGAAGAAACTGTTCATGACTTTTGTCAGACCAAAATTGGAATATGCAGCAGTTGTATGGTGCCCATATCTCAGAAGCACATTAACAAACTGGAAAAGATGCAAAGGCATGCTAAAAATTGCAAAATGGCTTCCTGAACTGAAAAAAACAAGAGTTATAAGGAGAGGCTAGAGGCATTAAATTTGCTAAAACTAGAAGAAAGAAGAAAAAGACGTGATATGATCACTACTTGCAAAATAATATCAGTAATTGACCAAATTGACAAAGAGGAATTCCTGAAACCAGGAACTTCAAGAACAAAAGGACACAGATTCAAGCTAGTGAAACACAGGTGCCAAAAGAATATCAGAAAGTTTGCTTTTGCAAACAGAGTGGTAGACGGTTGGAACAAGTTAAGTGGGAAGGTTGTGGAGGCCAAAACCGTCAGTAGTTTCAGTTATATGATCAAAAATGAAAAAAAAATAAAAAAATAAAATAAAAAAAAAGAGTACTGGGAAGAAGGACACCACGAACGTATCTCTTGTAGCTGTAACTACACTTGGGTAATTACTCTCAGGTAATTACCATGAGCATATATTACCATCTCATCCTAAATTACACTTAGTTAATTACACACACAGTATATTTGTATGGAGAAAAGTTTATAGAACCACAAAAAAATTTATTGAATAATTAGCTATTGGTAAATAATGTAATGATATTCTCAGTTCTTACTTGAATGTAGTGTCGGTCTTGACGGTGTGTTAGATTAAGTCCTTCCTGGTGAGTTTCATACTCCAGCAACAGGATCAGGAGACGTGAGGCAATAAGAACATCTGAGCCCCACATGGCAGGTGTGACAGAGCAGGCATAGTTTAGGTCCTCAGAGATTTTCACTGCCAGGTATGTTGTGATCTCCAGTTCTTGACTTTCTAAGCTTTCAAGCTGAAAAAATCAGCGTTGAATGTAATGAAATGCCATTTTCTGGGTGAGCCCTGGAGGCTCCTGGAAGCTATCTGAACTGATATGTGCTATATTAGTTTGGGGTCATCAGTTACAGGCGTCCTTATGCATACTGGGGACCACGAGCCAGAACCTGGTCCCCTCAGAGAAGGTCAGAGAGCAATGGCCTATGAGCACCTTAAATTTAAAGTATGTCATAATTGCCATCGACCGTGGAAGGACCCAGAAAGGTAGGCAAATCAAAATAGACCACTGTCTGGTTAACCTGTGCAATCTACATCCTAAAAGATCAAAATAACTTCCCTAGAAAGAAACCAAACAAGCAACACTTCATGTAATTAGACACCTGGCCACCACACCACATACACAGCTGGAACAACCACACATGGAAAAATATAGAACAAGAACTTGAGACCAGAGGCGACTGATCTGACCACCAGCACATCAGCTCTCGAGAACTGGAGTTCAAGAACCGGGCTGCTGGCTCCCCCTCACCCCTGTGGGGTGGAGGGGAGGGGGTTAGGGCTAACGAGCGGGAGTGCTAGTTGCATGATGTGTTACTCGTTTGGTTTCTGTCTAGGGGAGTTATTTTGATCTTTTAGGATGTAGATAGCACAGGTTAACCAGACAGTGGTCTGTTTTGATTCTTCTACCTTTCTGGGTCCTTAGTGGTCGATGACAATTATAATATAATGTAAATGTAAAGTGCTCATTGGCCATTGCTCCCTGCGCCTCTTTGAGGGGGTCAGTTTCTGGCCCCAGCAGGCATAAGGACTCGTGTGACTGATGACTCCAAACTAATATAGCACATAACAGTTCACATAGCTTCAGGGAGCCGACGGGGCTCCCCACACAAGTTTTTACATTACATCATATAAAGCAACTGAAATTATGAATACAATATCATCATCAGAAAGCAAATACTGTACAATATTTACTTAAGCTTTATTAATTGCAATTGTGATACAGTACTGTACTTGGTTATTCTAAAAAGTAATTTTAGGTTGAAACCTACATAAATTAGGCTGTGTAATTATTTTATTTTCATTACATATTCAAGTATACCATATGAAGTCTGCATAAAATATTACAGAAAACCTTCATAAACATTATACAAATAATCAGCTTACCAAGTCCCGCAGCTCAATAAAAGTGTCCGAAACACAATTGAACATGTCTGGAGGTCCCCATCCAATTTCTCTGTGGCAAACTCGAGAAGCTTGACCCTGGGCACCATAAGGACACTGTTGCATTGTTGTACCATCAAATGGTGTCTCTTCCCACCAAATCATTTCCGCAAAATTCTTAGGGCATCCATCATACACAACTGCAAGAAAATATTATCAGTCTTCATCATCATCATCATCCCAGTTCCCATTTTCATGGGATGAGAGGCATCATGTACAGCAGAATCAATACTCATCACACACTAGCAAAATATCCAAAGCAGTATGCCATCCAGATCATACAACATTATGAACAGTGCTTTCTCTGATTAATAATATATTAAAATAATCATTCCCTCTTGATAAGCCAATTCCATCTTGACATTCCTCACTGCTTCTCACTAACTTTCCACACTCGATAGGATCCTACTAATCACCCAAAGCTACCCAAAGCCTCCTAGCATTACGCAATAATGAAGAAATATGACATATTTACTCATTCTAATGTTGGTGTAAATTTGACATATTTACCTATTATAATGTACAACATGAAAAACACATTTTTACTCTGAAATAATATAATTTTATAACGAAATTAGAGAAAACAAAGTAGCAGGCAATGCCACAGGAAGCTGACAATGCAAGTGACAAAGTTGTGGAGCGACTTGTCCAAGATATATTGTTGCCTGGAGTGCTTGCTGGCATATTAGCCTCATGTACCTAACCTAACCTAACCTCCAGGCAACAATATATCTTGGATAAGGTGCTCCACAACATTGTCGCTTGGATTGTCGACTTCCTATAGCGTCACCTGCCATTTAATTTTGTCTAATTTTGTTATAAAATTATATTATTTCAGAGTAAAAGTATGTATTTTTATGTTCTACATTCAGCACCAACATTAGTGAGTAAATATGTCATATTTCTTCATTACTTACATAATGCTAGGATTCTTTGGGCAGCTTTGGGTAATTAGTAGGACAGTACTTGTTAATCTGTTCAACAAATCTCATGATGTCTTTCCATTCACTTTAAATACACTTTTTTTACTGCTCTGCCATCAATTCATTTAATATTACCAAACTCTCTTAATATGTTTTCTATAACATTCTTTTCTGGGGAAAGCCCCGTCGACTCCCCGGAGCTATAGAATGCTGGCCAGACATAGAATGCTCCCAACCACAGGGGGGTTTCTATAGGCCATTGCTCCTCGTGCCTCTCTGAAGGGGGCCAGGTTCTGGCTCATGGTCCCCGGTAGGCAAGAACTCCAAGCACTTTAACTGATGCCAGAAAGTTATATATATCCATTCAGTCTGGATAGCTCCGGGACTCGCCCAGAAAATGGCGTTTCATTACATTCAACGCTAGGTTTTTACTCTCAAATCCAAACACAACAAATGCATTTCCAACTATACATTTGTACTGCTGTAGCTGTTTTTTTATGATCATTCCACATCAGCACATCTTACCATAAGAGAACACACTACCACTCCATGGAGCTCACTGGCTGCCGCTGCTCTTCCTGTCTTTTTTTCCTAGCCAGGACTGTCACCGTGTCACTCACTTTCATTCTTTGACATATTCTACTCTCATATTTCTTTTTTGTGGTACAGAGCAAAGGTATTTAAACTAATTCACAAATTCTAGGACTTCATCATTTATCCTTCAGAGACTTCTCCCTCAATCACCATTCTGTTACTTCTGTTCACATTCACCTTTAGCAATCTTCTCTCACATGTCAACAAAACTTCCTATTAATCTGCATACTGTATATCTTTATAATTTTCTGTCAGAAGGATTGTATCATTTGCATTCAGCCAATTATATATACTAGTACTACAGATTTCATGCTATGATTAATTTATATTACAGTAGTTCTACTCCTAATTGTCACATCCTAATTTTATGATATGTAATGTGTCTTTACAATACAACCTCTTTCTAATTCTTAGCTAAATGTTACTCACTTTATGGCTAAAAATGTATTTTTGATTTAGAGTGCTAATACACCTGTTTAGTCTAGCCAGCACTGAAATGATTAGTACAAGGTGTTACCAATTAAGCTTCTGATTCTGATAATGACACTGTCTACTTGATATATTATGACCTGTGTAATTAATATATCTGTACTTTACTTTTTACGTAAACTTTCCAAATTATAAATGTACTACCATTCATGATTAAAAGTTTTTAATAAATGCCATATTCATCCGTCTTTCTCACATGTCTTCACCACTAGCCGTCTCAATGTAAATATCTGTTACAATACAGCCTCTTCCATCACAGAACCCACCATATTCATCACATACTCTTTCAATAACTATTCTGCCACAGTATAATCAGCCATACTCCAAATTCACAGCTGCACCGTTATTGTCAGTTATACCCATCAGACTCTCCAAGTACAATCAGTCTATTTCTATTTTTTCTTTTTAATTAGTTAATTAATATTTTCATGTTCATGTTTAGTTGTAATATTACCATTAGCTATTCCACTATTCTTCTTGTAATTTCTAACTTCTTCCCAAAATAGTGACATTATCATAAAGTATAAAAAATGGTAACTATGAACATAAGCAGCTAATGGTTAAAAATAATTACATGGCCAGTATTTACTTACTTTCACAGCCCATAATGGTGACCTGGGCAAAGGCATTTGCACACTGATCACATCGTCGACCAATGACCCCAGGACGACAGCGGCACTGGCCAGTAACAGGATCACATGAACCACCATATGACCCAACCAAGTAGCAGTCACAATCATAACAAGCCGCAGATGCATCAGGCTGATAGTGGTTTTCCTAGGAAAAATATTACTGTATAAATACTACCCTATGATTTTCCTAGGGAATGTACTACCAGAGAAATATGAGGTAATGTAGTTATTACCAATGTAAAAGTTTACAAGATGAGTAAGAACCCTTTAACCAAATATTGTATCTTATATATTTAGTAAGTTCATTATGCTTCATAATATTTATGGAATGCATTCATCAAAATAAATGTTCTCATGGATAGCTTTTAATCTTGTTTGTTCAAGAAACCAGCTTTGAATGTAATGAAACTGGGTGAGACCCGGAGGCTTCCTGGAGCTATCCGGGCTGATATGAATGTATTAGACCCTGGCATCAGCAAAAGCAAATAGAGTTTTTAGGCCTACCAAGGACCACGAGCACAGCTGACCTCTCCCCAGGAGGGGAAATAGGGAGTCCCAGATCCTTGTGCCAGCTATCCATATGCAGGCAATGAGTCACAATAACGTGGCTGAAGTATGTTGACCAGACCACACGCTAGAAGTTGAAGGGACGACGACGTTTCGGTCCGTCCTGGACCATTCTCAAGTCGATTGTGAAGAGGAGGTAGAGACAGGCAATAAATAAGCAAGAGAGAGCTGAGGAGGAAAGTAAGGTGTAGGGGATAGTAGTAATAATGAGAACTGCAGAGGGCCTATTGGCCCATACGAGGCAGCTCCTATTATAACCACCGAATGAGAAGGAGATAGTAATAGGAATAAGAAGAGGATAGCAAGGGAGCGTAGGAGAAGACAATGAACAGAAAAAGGGGAGAAGAGAGAAAGAAAAGGAAAGAGAAAGAAAGATAAATGGAAGGGGTAAGCTTATGTTAAGTCACATTTGTTAGAAAGATTAGAGCATTTGAGTATATACTGTGAAAGGGAAGAGTCCACAGCAACAAAGCCAGGACTCAAGTTCATGTTGGGTACATTGTGTATCAAAGCCGATTCTACAAGACGGCGTCTGTGTAGAGTAGAGGCAGGAAAGATTATTTTGGAAGAAGACCAATCAATTGGTCTTCCTCCAAAATAATCTCTCTCCCCCCCCCTTCCCCCGAATGTGAGCGGCCAGGAGAGCCAAACCCCGAGAACTTGGCAGACGAGTCACCCGAAGTGACCAGCCCCAAAGAGCCAAGGACCACATCGAACCCCAGCAGTTCAGGCAATGAACCACCGGAGAGCAGTCCGAATGGAGCCAGATCGTCGATCCACGAGCAATCTGGAACCCCCCCCCCCCAAAGCGACATCCACACCGCTGCAAACTCCCGCATTGTGATGTGGACCAGACAGACCTTACCGCTCCTGGCCGGCCTGGTGATCACTGGTCACAAAGCCCCAGCCAATAGATGATGCTTCAGTGAACACATCAAGCGAGGGCTTGGGTAGGCGTCAAGGCACTGAACCCTGAAAAACCCGAAGAGGAAGCCGACCATGCAGCATCCGGAGGCTGACCCCAGCGATCGCAAGAGTGATGGAAGGGACGTCCCCGAAGGAACCAGAACAGCCGACGAAACCAAACCCAGCCTGGCGGGTACACCACCATGGCAAAGTTCAGACTCCCGCACAAATCTTCGAGCAACCGGAGGTGACGGTTGTGACATGCTCATTTGCTCATTTGCTGGGGGAATTCTATCCAACAGTTTGGCTTTGAGTAGCAATATTTTAACCAGATAGGGTTTGTTTTGGAGCGCCCACCTTTCTGAGTGCCTTACCCAGTTGTTGGCAGACATAGAATGCTTCCAACCACACTGGGGTTTCTATAGACCATTGCTCCTCGTGCCTCTCTGAGGGGGCCAGGTTCTGGCTCGTGGTCCCCAGTAGGCCTAAAAACACTATTCGCTTTGACTGATGCCAGGGTCATACCATATCAGCCCGGATAGCTCCAGGAAGCCAAAAGGTCTACCCCCAGAAAAATATGTAATTAAAGTGGTTAATTTGCTAAAGTATATCAGTTGTTAAAGCAGACAAATTTTTAGGGTTAAAGGTTGCTTTGATTAGTTTGTAGAAATAAAACCTGTTATTTATAATAACTAAGAGTTACAGCTGTCAAACAAATATCAGAGCTACCCTAGTGTGTCGGTTAACCATTATGGCTTCGGAAAACACAATCTGACTGCAAAGCAGAATAGCTAAATAGATGCAGAATTACAAGCTAATATATTTTTCCTTTCTTTTTACCTGACATGTTTCTGTTCTGTTATCTTGATAAAGGCTTGTCAAATTTATTTTAAATTAATGACACATTTCCACACACTATAGCTATTCCTATTGTACCTTCCATAATTCACCACTCAGCATAGACCCACACCATTTATATGTCCACACCCAAACTGCAACAATAGCCCCTCTCCTCTCCACTACCACATCCCACTGCTATAATATCACCCCTCACTTACACCACACCACAACATAAACATGCAGGCCCCATACAATATTTCTACTTGATGAAAGTAAAGTAAATGCCTGTTAAATGGAAAGCCTACTAGAGTTGAGGAGACTTTAGACAGGATACTGTACTGACATACACAATATTAAAATCTAAGGGCAAAATATTGTAAATTTTAGGCCTAGATGTTTCAAAGTCATTTCAAGAATTTATTACGAGAACCAAAGTGGTTTGATTTTCCTCCTAGATAATTGCTCATACATAACTATCTCAGGATTTATTCTTTGTTCCTCTATCTTTTCTTCTCCCCCCCCCCATCAGTTTTTAGTCACAAATGCCCAATATGAAGTCTAGTTAAGCATGACTCATCTCGGCACGAGTTATGAATGTTACAATACAGTACTGTACTTCAGATCATCTTACTTCACAATGGCATTCTCCGCTTGTCTTATTACAGTCTCCATCATAACCTTTATCGATATCACAGTGACATGGGCCACACACAGGATAGCCCCACCAGTTGGTTGGACATGGCTGATCCAGTACCATCTCACAGTACTCACCTGTAAAGGATAAAACATAATTACCGATAAAAGGAAAAAACCCAGTGTTGAATGTACGTAATGAAACACCAATATCTGGGCGAGCCCCGGAGGCTTTCTGGAGCTACTGGGCTGGGGCTCCCCCCAGAAAATAAACTCAAAAACAAAAGGTTTGTTATAGGATAATAAAGCACATATTTTACACTACTGATGTAAAGCAACTGTCACAAATCATTTTACAATGTAGTCCAACTAACCAGAGAACTCATATGTAGGACACTCGCAACGGTACCCTTTAGGCGAGTGTATATCATGAACACAGGTGGAATTGTTGCTGCATGGGTTTAAGTGACAAACATCAGCACATTTTTCACCATAGTAGCCCTTATTGCACTGACATTCATAACCCTGCCAGGTATTAATGCACTGGGAGTTTGGTGGGCAGGGGCGGGATGTGCATGGGTCTGATGCAACACATCCATCACGCACTCCATCCTCGTGAGTGGGACGAAGCCAAGCATTCTTGCTGCTGCCTACACGCACATCCTAAAGTGGTGGAAGTGATGATGATTACATTTGAAGGACAGAAATAAATTTTGTTAACTCTTTGAAAATGTATTTGCATCGTACTTTAAAACTTTGAATATTAAACAAAGAAATCTTACGTAAAAATTGCATTAGTGCCTATATTGACCGTATCACTGACCTTGATACAGCCCTTGAAGCCTGTGACCTTGGCTGGGTCAGAGGGCTGAACACCTCCCACAGACACCTTCCCAATGTACAGGTTGGCTATATGGGCATCTACTCTGACTGTGATTTCATGGTTGCCATAATCCAAGTTAATCCACACCTCCCCACTCATCCACTTGACCTCAACATTGTGCCATAGTCCATCATCAACTCTAGCATCTGTCATCTTGATTGTTGCATTCTCGTAGCGATACTGGATGTAACCATCTACCAGCTACAGTAGAAAAATGCACACAATATATCAATATATTATATAAAAAATGCAGATATTGAGGAAATTGAAATACCTGTATTGTTTCTGAAGAAATAAAATTGTGAGTGTAACAGTTCAAGAAAATTCTAATTCAAAATATATTGCTCACATGTAAATATTACTTATAGTAACAGTGATGTAAGATTTTATATGATTATTATATGAGGTTTTATTGCTCAATGTTTTGTAAACCTTAAAAGTAAAATCCCAAGAGCTGAACAAATAGAAAAACCAGCATTGAGTATAATGAAACCTCATTTTCTGGGAGAGTCCCAGAGGCTTCCCGGAGCTATCCAGGCTGATATTGATACACAGTATTAGACTTTGGTATCAGAGTGAATGGAGTTCATAAGCCTACAGGTCACCACGAGCCAGAACCTGGCCCCCCTCAGAGAGGCACGAGCAGCAATGGCCTATAGAATTGCACATGTGATTTAGAGCAGTCTATGTCTGTCATCGACCAGGTCGGGCACCCAGAAAGGTAAGCATCCCAAAACAAACCCCTATTCTGGTTGAAACTACTACAGAAAGTCAAACAAGTGGACAAAATTCCCCAAAGAAAAAGATCAAATGAGCATGACGTCACCACGTGTCGCGCCGCCATCTGCACAGCTCCCTCCTCCCCAGGAGGGGAAAGGTCAAGCCCCAGACCTTGCGAAGGTAAACCCCAAGGTGACTTGTGGAAGGTGGCCCCCCAAGCCCCAAGGGCAGTACTTACAGGGTACCTAGGGAAGGTGGACTCTAGGCACATGCAGCCCGAGTACTTGTGAATTAACTCCTTACTTGCTCACCACCAATAAGACAGCACCACACCACAAGGCACAGAACTGGAAACACGGGAGTCAGAGGTGCACAAAGTTGCCAGTTCACATCAGTCACAGAACCGGGGTATGGATTACTGGCATGGGGGTCTGGGGCTGCCCCTTCTGGGGAGGGGTGGGGGTTGCGCAGACAGCGCCACATTGACTTCATGCTCGTTTGCTCGTTTTCCTTTGGAGAGTTCTGTCCACTAGTTCGGCTTTCAGTAGCAATATTTTAACCAGAATAGGGGTTTGTTTTGGGGCGCTTACCTTTCTGGGTGCCTGTCCTGGTCGAAGGCAGACATAAAATGCTGCCAACCACACTGGGGTTTCTATAGGCCATTGCTCCTTGTGCCTCTGAGAGGGTCCAGGTTCTGGCTCGTTGTCCCTGGTAGGTACAGAACTCCATGTGCATTGACTGATGCCAGGGTCTAATACATTCATATCAGCCCAGTTAGCTCCGGGGAACCAAAGGGGCTCCCCCCAGAAAAAACACTAATGTGCATGTTTCTTGTAAATTATTATTACTGTATTGTTTTTCTGACCATTTGTGACTGTTCTACTCCTCACCTCAATGATACTGTTGGCATTTTGGCCAACAACTGTAATCATTAGGAGCCCAAACTGCTCTCGTGTCCTGAAGGAAAGGCTGTTGAACCAGGGCAGCTGAATGGTCTGCAACTGTGGGCTGAACACTAGGAAGCCCTCACCTGTAAACTGCTTTACAACCTCCACACCTGAATAAAAAAAGATTAATACAGTGACATCTCGGCTTACGTAGAGTAGTAGAGACTGTCCCTTCCTAAACAATTAGGCAGTGGTGTAGGCTGTGGGAAAAAATGCAAACTTTTGTTGAAACGACTCGCCCAGAGCAAGCTGCAGTAGACCGTTGCATTAACCTTTTTAATGACAATGTGATGCCTCACTACAGACAGGCGTTACAACGAAGGAAAAACAATCTTCTGTGGATAGTTTTATATGTTGTTGTTAAAGATTTACTACCTGGAACAAAGTTCCAAGTAGCACGGGCTATGGTGAGCCCGTATTAGTTTTATAGTGAGAAAATTAAGCAGTGAACCACAAGCAGGTCCTAGTGTTATGCCTGCAAAACATAAGAGAGTGTACCCCAGAAAAGTCATCCCTGTCTGATGTTATGATGGAAGGGGACTCCCCTTTCCAAACACTAACACCTCTCCTCCTCCCCCCCCCCCCCACCCCCTCTTCATCGTCTTCCATACACCAACAAGAGTCATCAGTAAACGTAAGTAATAACTTGTACATACTTTAGTACTGAAGATTTGGGTAATTTAGGTATAAAATTTACTTTGAAGTTTATTTTTTGGGGCGTGTGGAATGGATTAATTCAATTCCATTATTTCTTATGGGGAAATTCGCTTCAGTTTATGAATTTGGCCTACGAACCGTCTCTGGGAATGGATTAAATTCGTAAGCTGAGGTACCACTGTATACTGTATCTATTATGAATGCTTTATTGTCTTGGGAACACCTTATGCAGTAATGAATAAAAAATAACAGTACATTATCTTAGAAAGCACAAAAAATAGGTCATTAGAATTTATGAAATCAAGGTTAATTTATGTAATTTACTAGTAAATTAAGAAATTATTACAGTACAATACTTACAAATTATTTGCAGTATAATGAAAAGCACATCAGTGATAAAATAATTTAAATATTAGTGGAAGATTCTAAATAACAACATCTGGGAAGGTTAACACACCTTGTGAGCAATCTTTTCCTCCCCAGCCATCTGGGCACGAACATATGTAGGTGCCGAAGGTTTCTCTGCAGGAGCCTCCATTCTGACATGGGTGGGATCGGCAGAAACTATTCTTCTCCGGGCATCCTGGAAATGTCCCATTGTCTGCTACAAACCTATAATACACAATGGGGTCTTAGGGGAAGTACAGTATATGTAAAAAAAATTTGCCAATTGACTTATGCAGGTTAGTCCTGCCAATAATCAGATATTTTTGTTCAGTTTTGTACTATAATCAACATCAAAATCTGACCACCATCATGCACTTTGATTTTGAAACATTTTGAAGACTACTGAAGCACTGCACTAGTTTAAGAGGTCAGAAGTGGAGTATTTGATTCTTTCATCCTGCATTCTCATTTCCTTCACAAAGAAACGGAAATGCATGGATAGGATATGCAGTGACTATTACAATAATCAGAAGGGGAAACTGAGTAAGCAATAATTATAAATATTAAATAGAAAGAAATAATTAAGACCTTTTTTAGGATACTGTACTATGAAGTATATGAGAATGTACCAGAGGTGAGAGTTGAAGAGTGTTCATATTTTTCACATGTTAAGGAGTATTTACGAAGATGCACATGTAATGAAGATGTAAATGGTACAAGAGAAATTGAATACTAGACAGTAATAACACTGTATAATCCAAGATTATTGTTACTAACAGCAACAAACTAAATATACATAATTTGTATGGTAGACTTACGATGTAAGATCAATGAACTTATGGTCAATATAGAGATCTGCTATACAGCCATGGAAATGTTGGTGCTTGACTTGGTAAGTGGTCGGTAGGGCAGGGAGCCCACCAACCTGCAATGGACCTGTCACGTCTAAAAATCGATGGCACGCCTGAGTGAGGATGGCACACCTATAGGGAGAGCCAGCCAGTGCACAATTAAGTTTAATAAATTTGTTGACATTTAATAAATAATATTTAGTAAAATATTGTAAAGAAAATTAATGCTTTACTAGCTACATCAAACATTTACTAAAGAAACTTTTGATAAATAGCCATTAAGTTTTCTTAATAGCTATTTACCATTAAGGAATCGATTAATGGCAATAACAAGCATTGCTACGCAACAAGTGAGGCAAAATAAAACAAATTTTTGTATTGCAACATTTTGTTTGACATTCATGGCATACTTAAAAATAATAATAACTGTGATTTTGTTTGACATGCAGTACATTATGTTTTGAAGACATGTGTATATTTAATTTGCAAGTACAGTATACAGTAATCTGAATATGTGGTAAGGCCATTACATTTGCCTATGCTCCATAAAACTGCTACAGCTGTATACACACACCTGGGGTCCAGAATCTGAGATGTTGTGTTGGCACAATGGTAGTCGCCAATCTTCTCACCAAACCTGATGGACAGAGCTGTGTCACAGCTGTCAACACTGATAGTTGCACTCTGATGAGAAAATGTTTTTCATTACTTTGTGCTTTAAAATAAAAGTAATTGGAAACTGAACAATTTAGAATAAAATATTTTGTTTTTACCTGAGCTATGAAAACTAAAGTAAATGATCCTGAGTACAGTATATTAAAAATATTATAAAAATATCAAAGGTTGTCCATATATTTTAGGAATGCAGCAACCCTCTGGAGAAAAGGTGTCAAATACTGTACAAATGTTCAAATCCTTAATTCATCCTAATTATTAGTGCCATTATTAAACAATATCAATGTTATACACACCATCTGTAATACAATATTAGTCTGTGTTCACTTGTAATTGTAGTTTATTTATTTATTGGAACAATATATTTATAATTCTGTGACTACTGTACTACTAGAGAGGCAAGTCGATACTAACCCTGTTGTAATAATCTACAGAGATGGTGTGCCATTCACCATCATCCACACCACCAGGAAGGGATGCAGAGACTTTGGTAGTGGTTGTTCCCAAGCTAAAGGAGAACTCAACAGCCCCACCTACTACTTCTAGGGACACAAAGTCATGCTTCTCATTGTAGCGTCCATTATACAGGAGTAATCCATCTGGCTCACGCGTTGCAAAGCTGTATGGTATATACAGTACTTATAATTTATGAAAAATTTATGATTCATTCATATCAACCCACCACAACATGTACACCTATAGATTAATGTTGCATCATATTACTGAGGGCCACAATTTACCTTTGCTTGTGCTTATAGAATAAGGAAGACTTTACTATTTAACTTACCTGATCTTGATGTTGAGTCTGTGTCGCTGCTTAAGTGCTGGGAAGGTCAGGAAGGAGCCTTTGGAGAACCGTCGAGACCTCAGTTCACAAGTTGAAGTGTGGTAGAGAGAACGACTACAGTTGGTGCAGGTAAAGCCACCTGCACCTCCCCCACTGCCAGCCACACCTGTACACTTGCTGCCATGTACACACACACCATCAACACATGCCCCACTTAGCATGTTTACCTCACAGTTCTTACCTGTCAAAATAGGTATACTGTATTAATAATAATAATAATAATAATAATAATAATAATAATAATAATAATAATAATACAGTAATAATGTTTATTCAGGTAAACGTTCATACATACAAAATGAGTTACAAACAGAAAGTTTGAGATCTATATGGAGCAAGTATATACTATGCTTAAAGTCAGTAACACACACAGGGTTTCAGGCAAATGCCTTAAGTGGCTTTGAGCTATTTCTAATCTGTAGTTTTCTTCTTATCTTGGATAGTATTTATTTTAGTAACATAAGTATCCACTCTATTGAATGACCTGTATGTGGCTGTACCTAGGTCGTTAAATCTGGGGTTCCACTAAACCCAGATGTTTTAAAATGTCAGTAAATGTTTAGTCATATTTGGGAGAGCAACAGGATGGATGGTGGGTTGCAAGTGGGCTGGATGGATGGACGGATGAATGAGTAACTGGTGGAGGTGGGCAGGTAGACTGGCTGGCTAGTGGGTGGACGAAATGGGTGGATGGATTGGTTGCCAACTGGTGGGTGGGTAGGTTGCTGACTGGCATTAACAAATCTTCATATTATCTAGCAGTTGTAATGACTTACCAGTGTATCCAGGCAGACAGACGCAGGTGTAGCCACCCTCACGTCGCATACAGGTGCCATGGTTGCCACAGGGGCTACTGTAGCACAGATTAACTTCTGTGTCACACTCATAGTGCTCACGCATCCCAGTGAATCCCTGTCGATAAATGCCAAAAGCATGATTAGATATTTTTGAATACCTTACTATGGTTCAGTTACAGTAGTTACAAATAGAAATATTATACATTTGCTAAATGATTGCTATTTTATGTTGGTTCTGTATTTCAATGCAAATATTAATAGGACATCAGGGAGCTGAAAATAGTACATTAACATATTAATGCTGGTAATCAGTAAACTATATATATACAGTATACCTCTGGCTGGAAGAAGGTGGACCCTTGGCCATAGAGGAAACCACACATAACACATTAGAGGGAATGTTTAGAGCCCCTCCAATACAGTTTCTGTGTGCTTTTCTCCTACTGCTCCCTTCCTCCACATGTCATGATGATGGCATTAGCCTATTGTGATGGCCGTATACAGTATTGTACTTGGGGTAGTTGTTATGATAGCCATTAAGGCACTTATAGTGCAGTATTGGTCATACCTTAGGACACCTGCAGGCGAAGGTGTTGACAGGGTAGATTGGGCGGAAGAGAATACTGCTGGATGATATGAAGCCAGAAGCATTGCCAAACTTCAGAACATTTAAACACTCTTCAAAGTTGAGGCAGGGCTCCCGTACACACAATGTGTCATCAAACGGTAGCACCTGTGACAACAGCAACAATAATTTTGCTTTATTTAAATATTGTTTAAAGGGCCACACACTGACCTTATTATCAAATCAAATCAAAATGTTTATTCAGGTAAAGTACATACTGTACATACAAGATAAGTTAAACATAATGTTGGATTTATAGATAGAGCTAGTACATACAATGCCTAAAACCACTATTATGCACAGTGTTTTGGGCAAGGCATTACAAGATAAGGTCTTGAGATATTACTAGATAAGGCTTTTTCTTGAAGAAAAGTTTCCTGATTACGAGGATCTGAATTAATATTTATTTTCTATTCTGGCATCCTGATATTTTATCACAGTAAACTGATATTAGAATACAGTACTAATACTGTAAATGGACCAGTTCATACCAAATTACAAAAAAGTGGTAAAATTTGCCAGAGCAAAAAAAAAAAAAAAAAAAAAAAATTGTGAAGATGAGCCAAGACATCTTAAGGTAACATTGGGTAAGTTAATCTACTTAAGAATTTATATTGGCGAGATTAAAATATATAGTACAGTATTCAGAAAATAAGAAATATTAAATTGAGGGTGTGTAGCTGACCTGGACAGTAGAGAGCTTGACGAGGTCAGCACGGTGGAGGTAGACCCGCTCCCTCAGGTACTGTGGAGGGTAGAATTCCTCACCAGGGATGTCAGGACGTTTAGCCGAGAAGCTCACATTTAGGATACGTGCCTCCACATCAGTATCATCCTAAGGGAGTCATGCCACCATTTAACACCAAGAAAAACAAGAATGTATACAAAGCATTAAAATCAAATATACAATTCATTGTCTCCCCAGGATGCAACCCCCACAACAATTCAGCTGATTAACTCCTGGGTACCTATTTACTGCCAAGGGAACTGTGACATTAGGCGATAGGAGATTCCCCAACTATTTATGTTCCGCTCGGGATTCGAACCCAAAATTCTTGATTTGAGAATCGAGAACGAATCCAATAGTACTACCAGGACCCACAACATACAGCATGAGGCTATGTTGCTATTAAAAGTAAAATATAATGTGAATAAAATACCACACTGAGGATGTAATACTTAAAATTAAATTTTAATTAAAAATTGTCTCGACAAATAAGTAAATCCTTAATTCGTCCTGCTAGTATAATTCACTGTGTTGGGGGACAGGAAGCCAGAGTGTATTCATACACGTTAGGCTTTTATCGAGATCTCCCCCCCCCCACCCCAGGGTTGAATTACTGACCCCGCCCAGGGTGCAATTCCAAAACAAGCTGACTAACTTCTTAGTACCTACTTGCTGCTAGGTGAACAAAAGCATTAGGTGAAAGGAAATGTGCCAAACTATTGTTGTCCCAGCCGGGATTTGAACACGGCATTCTCGATTGTGCGTGAAGAACGAACCCGACTGTACTACCGGGACTCGTCTGTGTTTGTACGTTGTTATTATGACTTGCTTCCTGATGTGACGACGTGCATTGTCCCCCAACATAGCCTCCAAGGAGTGCCGGACCAACCGGGCTGTGGTGGGTATGTGGGCCTGCGGGCCGCTCCAAGCAACAGCCTGGTGGACCAAACTCTCACAAGTCGAGCCTGGCCTCGGGCCGGGCTTGGGGAGTAGAAGAACTCCCAGAACCCCATCAACCAGGTATTGAATTTTGTAGCCAGCTCATCATAACTGTGCTTACTTAGCTTGCTTAGCTAAATTAATTTTGGAGTACATTCCCTGAGCCCACTGTGTGTGTGTCTAACTCCCTCTACTGCTGCTCACAGGATAAGTATGGGGGTGCATAATAAATAAACTAAATTGAACTCTTACATAAATAATGTACATAAATTTTAAGTAATCTATTACACATGTCAACTATTTATGAACCAAGTTTTTTATTTGATTTGCTCTCCCCAACTCACCTGAATGTTGAAGATGAAGATATTCTCCCTGGGGCAGGGAATGATGGCGGCGAGGCCGTCGATGAAGTATGAGAGGAGAGGGGAGAGGAAGGCCTCCTGGGTCATCTCCGCCATACGCACCGTCACGGAGTTGAAGAGCATCGCCTCCGTCACCAGTCGCACCTGAAGGCTCATCTCCGCCGTCACCTCGTTCAGCCCGTCTGCACCACTCAACCAGCCACCCATTAGTATTATTCACTTCCAGTACGTTTTCAAATTAATACATAACACGAGTGTTTAGCCTATCTACAAAGTGATATCTATTGCATATAAAAAGCTATATTAGATTTAAATAGAGTTTGTGTATAATAAATATAACTTTCCTACGTA